TGCAATGGATTCCCTCTGAATCAAGGGCTTATCACTGCTTTCTATCAAGGGGTTGTGTTTACAGGCTCCAAAGACCCAGGAGTGCTCTCCGGTAACATGGTGCAAAATCCCAGTCCACATATCCTAAAAATAAAGATATATATCAGGAGAGCACTACACACAAGCAATATCACGAAACTGCACTAGAAAGGCAAGGCCCATTTAGGAATGGTGAATGAGCTTCATCAGCCACATACTTCACTTCATCAAAAGCAAGCACATGGATTTGGCTACTCAAAGTCCATCACATAAAGATATTTTTGAAAGTGGTCATTGCAGAAGTCTGTCAATGGTGTTATTTTACTTTGCAGAGATTGTACAATACTTACAAAGAAAGTGTCATAGTCATCAGCCATCTTGCAACAGTACCAAAAGTGGTTGCAAATATCCCTGTTCCAATGATGGAGGATTGTGCAGTCTTTGAGCTGACCTACCTGCAATCAGAAAACAGTGCTTTTAAAAAGGAAGCCTGTGTATCAGGCTAAAATTCTGAGTGTAAAACCAATAACGAGCAATACTTCATTTGTAATACATAACTGCAGTACTAAAGCCACCAAAATGTTTTTAATGTGAGGAAGCCCTACTGAAATTTGTTAACATGGCTCCTGATTCTACAAGGTGTAAACAAATTCTTCATGTTGCGTGTTTGATTAGTTTAATACATGTAAATGTTCCAATAGATAGTACTTTAAGATACTGCATGAATGCATAACTTCAATTTCAAGTGAACAAAAGTGTAAGATGAGGCCAATGTCAATATTTTAACAACTAAAGATTTGGACACATCACTTACAGCATGAATCTTTTTGGACAAGTTTTTTGCTCCATGCCACATGTCGAATGAATGCCGGACCCCACTGTCTTTGTATTTGCCTTTATCTGGAAAAAATAAGAAGAAACCACGTTTAATACATTTTGAATCCACACTATTCGTAAATACAAATCATTCAAGGTATGCTTGATTTGCGTTTAATATTTATTCAAGCACCAAGTTTCTTACTAAAAAGAGCGGAAATTTGGACATGGGCGTCCGTGCAGAATTCTGACAGCTGCACTTCTTGACACAGGGTGTCGAACGTGTGGATGAAGGCCTCCCTCTCCATGACAACAGAATTTCTTGCAGTCTGTCTTTTGTCCATGTTGACAACGCAGATAATCTCTTTACTGTCATTATCCATGGTTGTGTATGTGCAGTACTGTGCATTGAAACCTGGACTGTCCATTCGACCATCACCTATTAAAAAAAATAAATAAATAACAAAATAACTTCTTGGACTCTGCATTGTCAGTGAAAGAGACACTTACCAAGGGCTACAACACTTCTCTTTTGGAGTTGATTTATTATCCCATTCCTCTGTTGGTTGTAAACTTCTTTAATTGTGTCGATGCAGTACAGGCCTTGGATTTTGTGGAAGGTGGTCTTGTTCACCATGCCCATATTCATGAATTTAAAGAAGAGAGCTATCTTTGCGTAATTGTTTCCTGAAAGCAGTACATTACAGGACAAAAGAAAGTCTCCAGCCAACATCCCGAAATTTATATAAGGCTGGGAAGTCCATTTCCACACGGTGTGGCCCTGGGCACAAATCTAAAATTCACAAGTTCTGCATAAATACAAATTTAAAATTAAAGAATTTAAAACATTCAGAATCACAACATTGTGATAAAATGTCAATATACAACAATGTATAAAAGTCAAATGGGAATAAAACTCACCCATTCAATTTGGGCTGCTGTGCCTCTTGATGTAATACAAGCATTAAAAGGTTTGGGGGCTCCACATTTTGCCATGGTTTTGGAATTTAACACAGAACAAACTTCATCAGGTAACTGAAGATGATCCACTAATTGTTGGAGACACATTTTGTAAGAAATGAAAGCTGGATGATCTATAATGTCATCCTCAACTTGGACATCAGAGGCTTGATCTGGATCTGCTATAAATTCGGGCCCGTCCTCTCCCACATCAAGGACAGTCTCGTCCACACTGACTTGAAGAACATTTTCAATATTAATTTTTGACCCCAGGGCAGCACCAGAGCTGTAGGAATAAATGACACACCACATCATAATCATCTTCTAAATTGTATCACATATATGCATTCACAATAACATACTTTACACAAATGCGGGGAACGAAATCATCATCACTGTCATCCTCTTCATCACTGTCAACTTCCCTCGTGTAGTCTTCCTCAGAAGATGACAGAGGTCTATCTTCAAATTCTGGAAGCCAAGTGTTGTCTTCCCAGTCAATGCTAAAGCAAGAAGAGGCATATTATACTTTGTAAAAATATATATATAGTTGTTATGGCTTCATTTTTTAATATATTTTTTTCTAAGCAATTACTTACGTTGCATTATGGAGGCTGTTGAACTCTTCTACATTGAAGAGTTCATCCACATCAGTTGAGGCCCTACAGGGAAAAAAAAGCAGAGAAAATAAGCAAGGTGAACATGTGACTTGTTGCCTTCCTGGTCTTAATTTTCTTTCACACCTCTCACTTGAGGTAAGAGGTGTGAAATAAAAACAAAAGCCTGGGTGAGTTCATGGATCTTAGGGGAAGGGGGGCAATGGGGCACACACGGAGGTGTGAACGACCAGGCCACTGCAGAGGCTAGCACTGGTAACTGAGGCCCTGTTTATACTGAGACGTTGCGCAGACGTTTCCAGGCTATTAACAGAAACGACCCGGTTCCTAATGCAAATTTCTCAGTGTTCACATGAGGTTGAAAAACGATGTAGTTCTAGCGCCCGGCCAGTAGGGGGCAGAGAAACTTTACAACACTCACACGGCCCCCAGCCCCGTGCCCAGCCCCCCTCTCGGCAGTATATTCACTTCCTGTGCCAGACCCTCAGAACGCACCAACATCATTCTGCATTTTAACAGCAGCTGTGAAAATGGGAACTGAACCTAGAGCTTCGCGTGGTCTCGTTTGGACGAACGAAGAAGTAGAATTATCCTCTGTGCCGCGCTGGAAGCCCACGAAGCTAGTTAGTGTGCGCGGCGCCATTTTTGTTTTTGTTTGTTCTCCGCTACTGCGCATGTCCAAATTTACGTGCTGGGAGCAGCAGGAGGTGGGGGTCAGAGCAGAGGGGGATTTCACACCTTTTCCCTCTCGCGGGTGTGAAAGAGCTCCCTGCTGTGCAGCGTATCTGAGTTGTCCCACTCTGCAGGCTGGATCTGAACACTTACGTTTTCACCCCCCTGGAACACAGTCTTCGTATGAACGCTTGGTAGCAACCGACATCCAACTATACCGTTTTACTGCCACATTGTCTCCGTGTAAACTCAGCCTGAGCTGATTAAAAGGCAGGTTATTTTTTATATTTATAAACCTAAAATACATACAGAGATACTTAGCCATTGAAGAATGAAATGCACAGAGATATAGTGAAATCAACCACCTTTCTCACCAGCGTACAAGAATGCATAGATTTTTTTTTAAATAACTGGATGCTTGTTGGCATTGCCTACAGACAAGTTAGCTTGCCAATTCACAAAACAATTTGCGCACAAACCTTGCCTCCTGATGACCAGCTAACTTAGCGGGGATTTCTTCCTCTAGCTGCTGTAAGTCCGCAAAGTCACAGTCATCGTCCCTGGCGAAAATCAAACAGCACATTCAAATATTCTGACCCTAGTACCACATATTCACAGAAAGTGAAGACAGCTACTTCTCAGGTGAACTCCTGGTGACGCTGGACAGCGATGATGGGGGTGGGGGACGCTTTCCGTGGGGCTTGAGAGGCGTAGAAGTGGAGTTGTCTTTTTCATAGCTAGACAATGATAGATGCGCGGTTATCGCCAAATAAAAGTAGCATTTTTCTACAACAGCTGGAGATTTATAACAAGCTAGCTTGATGAAAAAGCACGTTGTAGTCTATCTCTGATCAAAATATGTACAGAGTGAGATGTAGCTTACCTGTTCAGCAAGAGAAAGGCTAGCTCCGTGTCGGTTTTTATATCCATGTTTTTTTTTAGAGTTCTCCACCGATCAAAAGCATCACCAATATAAATCCGGCTCTTCAGCAAATTGCTCGTTTTTCGTTGTTGCTCTTCCGTTTTTCGCCGTTTTGCAAGAACTTTAGCCGGCAGCGGCAGCATTGAAATCGCTACCTTTCTTTTCTCCGCCATGTTGGTTCTGGGCAATGCGCGTGCACACACGGGAGAAACCCCTTATAAGGCGTGCCCTCTCGTCATTGGATAAGCGCATAGGATGTGAGGTTTATTTACAATATCCGCAAGAGGAGACTGGAATGACTGAGAGATCCGTGTTTAGGCACAAACACTCTATATAAGTGATGGCTATTGGAATATATAAATATTTAAGACGTATATTAACACCCAAAAATCACTTACTTCTGCTTTAAGAATAGGCTCTTCTGGTTATTTTATTTTGGGGAAATAGCCTCTGCTACAAACATTGTAATACAAAAATGATTACAGTGGCTTATTCAAGTCAAATAATGAACACAAATATTTTAATATTACAAACAAAACATTATAAATTTAACATTAAATAATTATATTATTTTTTTATTTTTTTTATGACCTCCCGCGGCCCCCCTGCAGTACCCACGCGGCCCACCAGGGGGCCGCGGACCCCACTTTGGGAGACACTGATCTAAACAAAATGAGTTCAGTTTTGTTTGAATTGAACCAAACCTCAACCAAACTTTTTTTTAAATTTAAATAATGTGGTTATTGTCTTGGGAAAATTAGCTTGTTTTATGACCATAGCTGCACAGTGGCGCAGTGGTTAGCACTTGAGCTTGACAGCAAGACGGTCCTCGGTTTGATTCCACCTCCAGGCCTTCCTATATAGAGTTTGCATGTTCTCCCCGTGTCTGCGTACGTTTCCTACACCGACCACTAATAACATGTACAATAGTAAGATTGTAAGGAAAGAGTGAATGCACTCCTGCTCTAAACTATTGCGATGTTACCTTTTTTCAGAGTTTCTTTGACGGATGGGATGTCAAGAAGAAAGACAAGACCAAAGGGCGACATGACACCTTGCTTAGCCGTAAGTTTTTAATCTTTGTTTATACGACAACGTTCTAATGGGAATGGTAGCTCAGAGGTGCGTGGCAGAATTTGCTGTAATTTCATTGAAATACATTGTTTGTTCTGATTGATTTTTCTTTCCCACAAGAGGAAATTCAGGAAGAGTAAAATCTGATCTAAATTTATTACCCATGATTAAACTCTATTTGTTTTACAATGTGTAAACTGGGTTGATATATATTTATTGCTTTATTTTGTAAAATTTTACTTTTGAAACAGGAAATCCAATGTTGAACAATGCTATTGATTACTGTCAGTTGAAACAATTGACAAATAGATGAGGAATTTAACCCAGAATAAAACTAATAACTCGACTTTAATTGTATGGATAAATTTCTTTAGAAAAAGATACAATTCTGGCCTCAAATGGTAGAACAAAAGAAATAATGTAACTTGTTCCAATTGACTTTCTCTGCTTTCACTTGGTCGTTATTACATTTGTAGCCAAAAGAAAACCGAATTGTTTTTACAGTTTAATTTGGCTTTTTGTAATTAGCATTGATTCTCATACTGTCTTTGAGTATGAAATCTCAGAAACGGCAGAAAATGGAACATCTGCCTTCTCCCATTTTTCCAAGATTTCTTTGGAACGTGCTTGTGATACATAAACACACATTTGAAAAGGAGTTGGTAGAAACTGATGCTTCCTCCCCCTTTTTACATGTTCAAATATAAAAAGCGGTCAGTTCGAATGTCAGTTCAATTCTTACAAAACATCAAATATTTCTCTTATGTATATTTGACACTCTTTACCATAAATAGTCATACATTAAAGGCACATTAAAGACCTGTGATGTACTAGGATCTAGTTCATTCCCATTTCCTTGATCAATCAATGTTGCATACTGTAATGGAAAAGACATCAAACATTTAGGCAGCATCATGGTTGACCCATGTCTTTCTCTGGGTTTCCTTGCAGATGATCGGCACAGGGTGAAGATGCACTCCTTGCTAGCTGACCCTAGTTCAGATTACGTCAACGCCAACTACATTGATGTAAGTCTCTGCTGGCTCCTCTTCCCTTCCCTTACCTCCTGTTCATCTTGTCTTTCTGTCATCTTTCCAAAAGCTTTCATCCTGGGTCCATTCTGTACTCTGATCTCCAAACACCAACCCTCCCGCCACTGTTTGGGACTCAGCAGTCATTCACACACACCACAAGCTGCGCAGTAGTGTGATGGGATTGTGGTAGATTTCAGAGATCAGGGGGAGCTCAAAGGCGGATATGCATGGAGGCTGGCTCAAACAGTGCACAAGCGATGACACGGCACAGATGCAGAAAAACAAAATATGTGGAGAGAATGTTAATGAGAGATACAGCTAAAGATACAGTGGTTCAAACTCAAGATTCAGGTCAACCTGCTAAAATGTATTGAATTCACCTTTGTTAAGTTCTTATGGTTTTAAAGGGCAAGAATCTTAGACAAGAGGATTTAAGAGTAAATACTGTATAGGGTTTCAAATCAAGTCTTTATGGGAATGGAAGCTGGACAATTTATTATTGACTATTATCATCAGTTTGGCTAAACACTAAACAATACTCGAATCAAGATAATTAAGATGTTTTCAAAGATTTCTACAGTTAAATAATTTTAACACAAAAAAAATCCAAATGAGCTACAGGTATCTGTGGGTATCTGTTTTTGACCCATCTTTCATACGAAAAACGGGATCTGGTCCAAGAAGATAACCTCCTCGGCTTGAAAAGGACTTTGCTTCCCCTCTCAATTTCTCCTTGTTACTGTGTTATGTAGGACAAGTAGCTTGCCACTGAACATGTGTAACCTCCGTATCCCTCCCATTGATAATACTATTGTTAGCTGCACAAAAGTGAAATGCTGAGTCTGAGTCAGCGCTGGTGGGTGGTTAAAACATGCCCCCTCCCTGTCCCCCCTCCACACGGCTCCATGAGGGCTCCATTAGGACGTGCGCCGCCAGGACCTCTATGTCATTACAGCAGTGGCCGCTTGTCATGCCAAGACCCCCGGCGCAAAAAACGCCATCGCAAAAGCCTTCCAAAACGACTCATGGAAGAGGGCCAAGGTCGGAACAAATGGAAAGGCTGAGGGTTGTTTTAAAGGTTAGCCTCCCAAGTGCCATCTCGTGCATAAATTGGCAAAATAAGACGTTTTTCAGGGCAGACGTTCAAGGTTTCTTTCGGCAGCTCAATGCAACAGCAAACAACTGAGCTTGTAATAAACAAGCCATAGATGGATGAACAAGCTAATGCAGTTTTTTTGGGAAGAAAACATTGAAAGTAGTAAACTAAAATTGTTGCAACATTTTTAAGATTCACTGTGACAAGTTTTTAGGAATCGCCACGGTAATGCTAACAACAAGCAAACCAACAGTGTACTTCCTGCATACATTGACATCCCTCCCAAAATAGTCTAATTTTGTTCTTAAAGGTGAGGTGTGAAATGTTACTATGTACAATCCATCTCACTACTTGCTCTCAAAACAGTTTCACTAGTTTTCAAATGCAGGTATTTTTCTGATTCAGATTCATTTTATTTGCCATTTGCAGTAAAACTTTATTGGAATACATGGACAAAGAACGCCAGTGTGCACAAGACAAATGTAAATACAAGCAACAACAACAAAAAAAGAAAGAACTGCAATATCAATGTTTTCATTTTAAGATCATTCTTTTTTCTTAGCCTCTGTCGCCTATTTAGATCAACTTTTTCAGGCAGAAAAGTGGAAAAAACCCAGCACCACTCCCGCCCACTAATCAGCTCTCAGTCCAAATAGTCAAATTGTGACTCACAGGGCTCTTTCTTTCCAATATACAAATGTTTGTTTTGTCTTTTTTTTCTCCCAATATTTTACTTTCACTAGACTCTTTCTTTGGATTATAAAATGTTAGGTACCCCAGCTTTCAGAACAGGTCAAACATTGAGGGTGAGTGTCTCTTGGGAAACTTCCAGAAGACATAATGAAGTAATTGGTTTGTTCATTTATTATAGTGTCAAAACCAGAGTAACGTCCTTCCAAGCTGTGATACCATTTACTAAACTCGCCACTCTATCGCAATAATTCAACTTGATTCAAATGAGCTGAAATCGAAATGGCTCTCCGACGCAGCTGTGATGTTATAAAACCTCAATTCGCAAATTCATTAGTGGTCTATTAGAACGCTTAATTAGATCATGCTCTGATTTTATAATTAGTTACAGATAAAATATAGCAATCACAGTTGTATTGTGCTCCCAGAGACGCTCCCCTTTTCAGTCGTCGGCTTCTTTCAGTCTGCAGACGGCAGCGTAATACAAAGCCATAGAGCCATCAGCTATAGAGAATCACTCCCAATGCAAGATGAATAATACATAACCAATTCCAGCCAAGGCCGCCAGACGCATCGCTGTGTGAGGGGTGTATTTGTGGAGCCAAGAACCCACAATTTCACTATTTTTCATTCACCATAAACCACCTGTAACATGAGTCTAATATGTAGTAACTTGTTTAAAGAGGAGACACGGCCTAATTCTGTTTCATAAAATGCACAAGGGCCTCATTTCTCAGTTATGAATGCAGTATTTTAGGGTAGTAACATGTTAAACGCAACTATTCACTTATTGAAATGGATAGTAGAAATTGATCAATCAGGTTTTGAACCAGACCCGGACGTAAAAGAGGTTTTATGAATCTGACAGAGCTAGAATTACTACAGAATGACAAGGATTATTTTATATATATCTACAGATTTAAATTTCTTCAGTTACATTTTCTATTTTTCCCCCCCAAAACACATTAGGGTAATGCAAAATCACAATGATCACTCAATTACTAAAATGTAAAAAAGATAATATTGAAAATTAAGCTAGAAAAGAAAGACAAAACAAAAGGCTAGAGTTGCAAACTGTAATCACCAAAGTGCTTGAACCAGGGAAAGTCGTTTTTAAAGCTGTAGAGAGACAATAACTGCATTCTTTTAAGTATTGTCTGTTTGCCTGCCAAGGATGAAAATGTATGTTGTAGAAGCGCCAGCCTTTCCACGCCAATGAGGGACTTTTTCAGCACTAATCGCATCAATTGAAAGCTCCCTGATGTACTTTTTAACTTCTTACTAATGAATCCCAAGTGACATAACATGTACATCCTTGGCAGCGAACGTACAACGCTAATTTCATGGCCATCTGCGCTGAAAGCACACAGAGCCAATGGCAAGATTGACTTAAAGGTGGCGACGGACAAAATCAACTTTCTTTTGATTTGATGAAGAATTGTACCAACAGAAACTGCATCTAGAGCTTGACATTCACTAAGGCAATTCTCTCCATGTTGTAGTGACATTCAAGATTCACACGGTAGAGACCTGTCGTGATTACCACTATATTGGTTTAGTTTGAAAGGTAAAAACAGATTCAATGACAATTTGAGTCCTGAGAAATGTAACTGGTCTTGAGAAAAGAGCGAACAAGGGATTTTACAGAGTTAATTACGGATTCTGATAGGGTAGTGATACTATTTGAAGGATTGGTGGTCGCCTGAAATCCAAAAGCTGAGAGAAAAGGGCTCAAAGTTTCCCCTATTCCAGCTGACTCCAGGGAGAGGGAACACAATGCTGCTCATTTGATCATCCCATTAGACTCACAAATGTTGAAAAACTGAGATTAGTGTCATGATCTAAAACACATTCTGGGAAAAAACAAAACAAATTGTTTTGATAAGTGCTATTGTTTTAAAAAAGTTCTAGTTTGTCATAGAGTTTTTGCTGTAGTGATGTCCGCAACCCCATCTCCAGAACACGCTGAGTCCGTGTGGATTTAAGAGTTGCTGTTTTGAACAGCGGTTGTGAGGCGTTGTGCACATACAGCGAGTTGGGGACAATAATAACTGATAACAACTGTGCTTTTACTGGTGACGACTTATTTAGGTAGTGACTAATAATGGTGTTTGTTTCTTCTCTCTGGTTGTCAGTGTGTCCTGTCATGAATCTCACAAATGGATATTTCTACCATAACATACACACAGGCAAACACTCACACACAAATACAACACCCTGTGAAATAGAACATAAACGTAGTCTTTTATAAATCTGTCAAGAATTGGCGTTTATTTAAAGATTTGATTTTACTTCAGGACATGTATGTAAAAAGTATCTCTCAATACTTTTAATTATGAAAACAAAAACCAGACAGTTGTGGCTTTTAGTCCAAAACAGAAAAATCTCATTTATCCATTCCCATCAGGTGTTTGCGTCTCTTGGCACTGCGACCGTGTCTCCTCCATTGATTAGCCAACTCTGCTAATTCACAACCACAATCTGTCTCATTACGGGCTTATTATAGTTTGAGTAAACAGCTGCTGGCGAGATTGGCTTTTACTACTACTCCCACCCAAATCATTTCAACATCCAAATAGTGTTTTATCGCTGAACTCATACAAACCCCACCATTGCTCTGGTCATCGTCTGTCACTTCCTAACTACCTCATCATTGTCGTCCATTTTCCTGTCTTCACAACAATAACTACCTCTTTCTTCCCACTCTCGTCTTCCTCTTTCTATATCTCTCTTTTCTGCACTTGCCCTACATGTGTCCAACCAATGGCATCTCTTAGATTCGGATAAACAGGGAAGTAAGTATCTTGCTACCGCTCACTATACCCTTCACTGCTTTCTTGTTTGACCCCCCTTGGCTCCCCCTTACAAAAGCATAATGCGCACTTGCTTTTACCTGCTTTCACTCCATGCATTCAAGGCCGAACGCGATGATTACATGGCGTGTGAAAATGAGGGTGGTTAAAACAAGGCGGCAGGGTCTTAAGCTAGTTTGTGTTTGCATCCGTCAAGCATCTCAGAGACGAGCTGGTAAATGTTGTCGTATTATAGTCCCACAAGGTGTTGGGTGACATTTACCCCGGCCATTCAGATGGTAATAATGTGCCTCTGTGGCTGCGCAAAGCATTTCCCAAGGATTCTTCAAAGTGGTGGAATGGAAGCTTGTTCTTAAGTGGAAAGGATTGGGGAGATGGAGAAAGAAGCTAGTTTAGTGGTGTTCTTTTGATTACGCTACATTCCAAAGCCATTCCAGAAAATACATAGTAGCATACATCCTGTCATAAAGAAAACAGTCAACCATTTAAACATGTTTTTCATGGTTTTTTGCATAAATACAATGATAATCTTACCATGTGACTAGTGGCCTGTAGTGAATAGTTAGCAGTTAGCTTTAAATGTAGTTCATTAGTTTTTTCAAAATCCATGTACTATAAAGTAAATTATAGATGGTATACCTAACTCCTGCCAAAGCATAGCCACGGCAAAGACCAGTGAGATGAGCTCTTTGTTTGCATCAACAAAGGGCGAGAGTGTTGTTTCTTTGAAAAACATTTTCAAAAACATGATTTCCTTGTTGTAATTATTTTTATTACAGACATTAGCCTCAAAAGGAGTTTTGCCTGCGTGTCTATATTATATTAGAGATGAATGGATTTGTGACTTGTTGCAAAAAAAAAAAAACAATCGCAATCAGATTTTCAATAAAAGCCAAAATCTCTCAAATGGCCTAAATATCTATCTGAAGATTTGAAAGTTCTTTCAAAAATTTGTCACAGAAGTTTGGGAGGAGACGGATGTCTGTATTAGCAATATTACGAGAATTATTTTTATTGAATTGTGATTTGATTGAATCCAAGTTAAATCCATGTGATTGTTGAAGGTAACATGCATTTTAGAACGCATGTGAGGACCTGAAGCTCTAACCTTTTGCAGTATATTTTTATGTAGTAGATCTGGTCAAACTCTACTCACAAATCTGCGCCTTCTGAGATGCTTGATTTCTATACAAAATCCATTACCATTGTGTCAAACTATCAAATTGAATCCACCCAAACTCACCTCCTCCGTCCACCCTATGCATGCCTCACGTCCGCACACTCAACATCGTGAAGCGGCTCCATCGCTGCACTGGAGGGAGCACAGGGTTGCCACGGTGACAGACAGGAAGCGGGCCGGCCGGGGGAAAAGTCTACATCAGCACAAAGCTCCTGGGAGTGAGAGAGAGGGCTCATCCATCTCAACTACCCGTGTGTGCCATGACACTTATGGAATGTAATGCCTGCCGAGGAGAATATAGTGCATATGTGTGTATCAATTTATGACAAGCGAGGGACGGAGGTGAGGGAGGTGTGTGCCAGTGTGTGCCAGTGTGTGTGTTGGTTTATCGTAAGCATCGCTTAGGTTTAAAGCAGTGGTTCTCAACTGGATTATCATCAAGGTCCACCATGAGTAACTTAGAACCCCAAAAATAACTGATTTTAGTGTTTAAATAATGTTAAATTCTATGTATTTATTAATTATGGAAAAAAAAACTGCAACTGACTCTAGTGTCAAGGAAACAAAAAATATGTGGCTTTAATTTAAGAAAGGGAACATAAAGTATTACACAAATCACCTTCTTTGAGATTTATAACAACATTGTCCCCTCCTCATAAACAGAACTGTGGTTTTTTTTAGATCCATCCCAGACAATATCAGCAACTTCTGGCACAAACGTATAACTCAGCCCCTTCTACAGTATGTAAAAGCTCCCTGTAATGGTATGATGCCATTGTACCGCTATGACATCACACTCAGAGCAGTTTTGTCCTTTAGAACAAAAGTATTGGCCATAATTTAGTTTTGGTAATTTCTCAAGCGGTTGACGTACTTGACATTGGAATAATTGTGATTGCAGTTCGGGATTCATAAAAAATTGAAAACCAAAACAAATTCTCCCTCTCCCTCTAGTGGTAGCATAGGGATTAGCTTCTAAAATAATTAATAAAGAATAAAGATAAGTCTTCTTTATCTTGGTTTCTACATTTTTACTCATTTTATTCATTTGTTCTAAGATTATAGACTCTTTTTAAGCATTTTCATTCTATTTTTCATTGTATCATGCAATAATCAAGACCTATAAGCTACAGACCTTTCATTCCAACCAAGCAGGAGCACACCAGACTTCACCCATTTCCTCAAGTCTTCAGATTCAGACTGGGCTCACTTGAGGAGACTGTTTCTTGGACTTTTAGCTTGTTTTAAATCTGTACTTGTCTGGTGCACACTGGGATACTTTTGCACATGTATCCCAATGTAGTTTTACTGTAAATGCGTAATAAAATGAAAACCTGCAGCCAGTTGAATTCCCCTGCTATTGATAATGAGCATAGAAAGGATTTTCCATTAGCACTTAGTGGATTCGTACGTTACTCGGTCTGAACAGATGGCAAGTAAACAGGACGGGAACTATTTATCTCACAAATATTTAGCTTACATTCCACTTGAGCTCTGAGCGATGAGAAACCTCACTAGTCCCAATTGGAGGAATCTATCAAGCTTGACTACTTGGCTTTCCAGACACACTGGTTCTCTATCCGCAGCCGACCCACAGCACTAATTTCCCTCCCGGACTTAAGCTAAAGAGAGGCTAACGCTATGTGCCGTCAGTCAGTGTCACTCAGGTAGAATTACTCCGCTCACTTGTCAATCGGCTTTTGATCCGAGAGCTTTGCGAGCATGCAGAGAGGTCTCCCCTTCTGCATATAATGACTCAGATTTAGGAGAGAGAAAATAAATAATAGGTTGCGTTCGTGTTCTTGAATTATAGTTCAGTTGCAGAGCAGGTGTCAGTGCGGTTCAATGGGAAAGAAGACTTCACAAAACTTTTGATTTGCCAAAACAGATCTGAGAATGAACACACCAGAAATGCAATGATGAAAAACAGATTAGTCCATAAGGGGCAGATGACCAATGTACATCAAAGTAAACAAATGTTGTTAAATGTTGAGTGTCCTGGATCATCACCACTGTCCTTAGAAAAAAAAAATGTCTAAGATTTTTTATAGTGGCCAAAATCATTCATATGTTTTTGAATGTTGCCACCACTACCAGACGTCTTTATGAGTTACCACCGTTACTAGGAAAGACTTTTGGGTTGCCCTCCACCACAATGTTAAACCATAAACTATTTGGATTGGTGTGATGTCACATGAACGCAACCTATTGAAGTCATGTCCATTCTTCTCGCGTGCCTGCGTTGAAGTTAGAACAGTGAATAATGTCATAATCGTTGCAGCCTGGTATTGTCGTGTTTAGTTTTGTTTTAGATTAGATTAGATTCAGATTCATTTTATTTGCCATTTGCAGCACAACCACATTGGAATACATCCGAAAAAGTCCCCAGTGTGCTCAAGACATGTACATAAATAAACAAGGTTAAAAGTACAGAAATAAAACAAACAACAAGAGAAAAGTGTGAATATGGCACGTTCATTGGACAATCTTTCATTTCAGATTTGAAGTTAATTCTGACACGGCTGGCAGAGAAATCCAGCTTTTATTAACGACCCTTTCCTTTTTTTTTTTTAATGGCTTCAATTCTGCCAACATTCATTTCATGGATGTGCTTAATTTACCGGCGTGCCATGGCCATCCTTTGTCCCTTTAATAAGCACTCGTCTGAAATAGTTTCTCATTATATGAAACAGCATGTGAGGATATAGTTGATATTAAAGCACACACGATGAACAGAGTTAGAGAAGGAATAGTTCATACTGTACGTCTTATAAGAAAGGTGCCAGAAAGTATTGGTTCTCTTATGAAAAATATAAGCTAAAAATGTTTCTAAATTTAATTTGAAATATTTATCATATACATTTGAAAAGAGAGATGCTGTGTTTAATTACATTTTAATATTTTTTCAGTATCATTTAGCGTCTTGACTGTGTTGTTCATCCATGTGTGTGTGTTTCAGTAATCTTTATCCTAGTGCTTCAAGAAAATTGTTTCGACGTCGCTATAGTCACGCCAAACATGTTGCCATGAATTACAAATAAAATAAAACAATAATTTGCATGAAAGAAATGTTTGAATATATGGTTTAAACAGTAAAAGTAAATGGACATATAGTTTGTATTTTATGAATAGACTGAATATATTTTGGATAGTAGAATCTATATGTGCATTCTAGAAGTTGATTCTTGTTTTTTTGCGTAGCTATTTTGACTACTGGCATTGCAGTAAAACCACTTTGGAAAAACTGGGCAAGACTACCCCAGTGTGCACCTGAAAAAGAATCAACTTGTAGAATGTGTCAGGAAACCAAATGACCCTTGTTGGACTATGTGTGTTTACATATTAGAATTAAAATAGGCGTAAGCATGGAGTGTCTTCATCATTGCTTATATTTTATTTGTGTTATTGACAATTGCTGCTGCATGACTGTCAGTTCAAATCTAAAAAACCCATGAAAAACCATAAAACCCATTCCGATGAAGATAGCAGAGTTGGTATCTTGCATTCATAAATAGCTTTTTATTTATACTTCTCGTAATCTGTAGGAAGTCTGACCGGACTGGATAGGTCGTAAATCTTGCAGTTTGTTCAAAGCTTCAACCCGGATGAATAAGTGATGGTGTGATGCTTGAAATGGACGAGGGAATGGCTGCTTCTGAATAAGTCTGCCTTTAATACGAGCTGTGTAATTATTAAGCGTCTCATCTGCCCATCTCTCTCTGTCGCACAGGGCTACCAGCGCTCCAACCACTTCATCGCCACCCAAGGTAAGCCTTTTTCTTGTCTGTCACTCTTGAATACGTTTCTGTGTGTGGATGTGACCAAAGAACGGCGTAACGGTGGTGTCAAATTACTGAAACGTAGGTCACTTGTTTAATTTTTCCCGTCGGGGGGATTAAATTGGAAGCGTACGGAATTTTCACTTGTTTTCAGCCACATTGCGATGATAGTTGGAGATATTTTATGTAGTTCCTGTATATTTGGGAAAAGTTTTGTCACCCACCTTTTAATGATTCAGTGGTCTAAGTAAATAAGTCATCTTTATTTATATACCACCTTTCACAGAACAGAGTCACAAAGCGATTTACAATTGTTATTATTTTTTGGGCATTTGTCCTTTCACTCCACACAGAGATGGGAGCGAGGTCGCCGAACAGGAGGCACATGCCAGACCTATTATACATGTTTTTAGTGGTAGGGGAAACCGGAGTACCCGGAAGAAACCTATGCAGACACGGGGAGAACATGCAAACTCCACTCAGAAAGGCCCTGGTCCGGCCGGGATTCGAACCCAGGACCTTCTTGCTGAGAGGCGAGAGTGCTATCCATTCAGCTACCGTACCGCCCCGTCTCTCGCTTTAACCTGGTTCAACTTTCGCAGATTTGCTGTTTTGCTGGTTTTTGTGAGTGTGATAACATGACAATTACATTTATTCAGTTACGTTTATTCAAAGTCAGAAAAATACTCTTGTGGCTTGTGTACACCGCGGTTTTAGCCCCCATAGTTTCTTGGTAACATCCCTCCCGTGATGTCATCAATTACAACCCGGAAGAACCATAAAAAACATGAAAAAAGGCCACATTTTAATTGTATGTGTCATATCTTTAGGAATATCTTTTATTTATCTAAAATTTTACCTGTTATTCAATTCAATACTAACTAGCATCGCACACTTGAAATGAACCTACCATTAAGGTAAGGTGGCAAAATAAAAAATACATCTCCACACCTTTAAGTAATTCTGTCTCTATTATTGCTTTCTTCTCACTTATCTTAAACAACACTAAATCTTCATCCCAAAACTGCTTTCCACATCCATCCAAATTGGAACCATCACAATGAAATCTTACCTTTGAAGTTCCTTGTTTGCTCAGGGGACAAAATTAAATACATTTATTAAAATATCAAACAACTTTCCATACAAAACCGTAAAGCCAGAAAATAATATATCTGAACGTTGCTATGAAACCTTTATACATTATAATTAAGTGGGTGAATCTGCGTGTCTGTTTGACAAATAGTTTAATTGTGTGATATTCTAATCTGCTACTGGCAAATTAACAACGTTATTGAAATCCTTTGAGCCCGATTTGAGCTGTACAAAAATAAATGGCTTGTGGGTTTGTGCTCGTGCTTTGTTTGGGCCCTGCTCCAGTTTGTTTCTCGATGACAGAGCTTAAACTGCACAAAATCAGAATCCCATTCATCTTTACTGAAACAATAAATATAACAAGTTTCTTACCTGAAGTGAAAAATGCTTGCCCATTGCTTTTTTTGTTTTATTGTCGTATAAAAAAAATAAAAAAAACACTACTCCTTGTTTTGCCTTTTGTTGAGGCTATCGATTTGTATGGCACCCCATTCAATCACATTTATGCCGCAAAAAGTGATGAAAAATAACATTTTACTTCATTTGAGCACATTTTAACTGCCTTACAACAAGATTTGCCAATGGGATGTTTTAAAATGGTTCAAGAAATGTCTCTTTTGGAATGAGAAAATAAACCAACAGTTCTTGAAATAAGACTAAATGGTTTGTCCAATTGGCAAATCTTAGTCAGAATGTACTTAAATTAGGATCTAAACACTTAAAGCAATTATTACTTCATATTATGGCATTTTTTTGTAGTATATGCTTTAAAATCCTGCGAAAGCTAGGATACCCAACTTTTATAGTACAGAAATAGAGCTTTGAAGTACAATCCATGTAATCCTCAAATTAGTTCCATAATGATCTGTATCACTAGTTTCACACGCAGGTATTTTTGCCTCTGTAACTTTTTATACCATTTTATTTATTTTGGACAACCTTTTTTTACAGATTTTACCATTTACAGTCAGTATTGTGTTTGAAGCTGTTTTTTTCATGTTTAGAACCACTCCGCTATATCCCCCACCCACCGGAATTTCATTTGTGACTCACAAGGCTATTTCTTTTTATTCTTCTTTCTTTTTTAAATATTTTTTTTATTGGCATTCACAATATATTACAACATGGACATTCAAACACATTTGTACGAACAAACGCACCTGAACGTCACTACCCATAAGGCTATTTCTTACCAGCATGGACGATGAAATGTTGCCGTATCTTTGAATTGAGATAAAACTACTAATTTATCAAGCAAAAAAGTTGGGTACCCCAGCTTTAAATTCAAAATCCTGTTTCCTGCAACTAGTGTCTATCAGCTTCCACTTGAAGTTATGAGAGAGAGAAAAAAAGGAGCAAGAATCTTTCTTTCCCAGTAGCTCAAATTTAAACTACTAGTTACACTCTGCAACTAGTAGCGTTTGAACACATCCCCGCTGACAACATCCACGTGTGAATTATTAATGCGATAAACAAATAATATTCTACCATGTCAAACATCCAGAAAAGCGCTTTCCTTTTGAAAAAAAACGTATAACTATACTTGTCAATCATTACATTTCTCAGTGTAGCGTAGATGGCATTCTGTTCCACCTCTAATCCCATCCGTCTGCATTTGGGGCTGGGTGATGTTGGTTTGATATGCGTGTCTTCGGAGTTACAGAGACGAGATACGAGGAGCGAGAATGAAAAGACGGTGCATTATTCTTCCCCACTGATCCTATTCATTCACTGGATATGCTTTTCATTCTTTCATTTCTTTCCATCTCTCCTCTTTGGTTTCGCCTCCACGCCAGCATCGGAGTAACCTCCTACCGTGCCGTACTGTGCAGCTGGAGCAGAACTAACTTGGGTAAAAGTTGAGATTTGGGGAGATTTATGAGAACGGATTGAAATAGAGTTTATGCTTTGATTGGAACCTGGGTAAAGGTGTAAAGTGTCGTGAGCGCGGTGTGAAATGGACAAAGCTAAGTGTCTGCTTTTGACTCCTTTCACCAGGGGACCAGGGGTTCTACCTCCATTATGCAGCAGTGCTACCTCCCATAATGCTTTGCGCAATGAGAGTAACATGTGAGCTTCCTGACCAATCTACACACCAGCTGATAAGAAGGATAGATTTGTTGCACAGAATGAGGATTTTTGTTTTGGTTTCATTGTAATTTATTTTTGTGTAGCCCTAAATCACAACAGCAGTCGTGTTGGAGGAATTTTCAAAGTTGTCAATTTACAAACAACAGATCAGAGATTAAAACAGTTTCAACACAGGAAATGCAAAAATAACAAACATATAGGGCCATTGATCCATAGGAAGCGAGATGACCAATGTCTGTAAATGTTGATAAATGTCTATAAATAACTTTTAATGTCCTCGATTATCACTGTCCTTAGACCCTTCTGTAAACCTTCCAAGGAACAACTCGAAACAAACCCAGTGGCTAAAAAGTAAGAAACCTCGGGTAGACCCACATTGAGGGAGGGATCGCCCACGGACAGACAGGCTATAGATCTAGGGCTATACAATTATTCTTAGAACATTCAGCTGTTGCAGCCTGCCTCCACAGGCACCGCACATGGTGATTACAAAGAAGACTCAAATCCCCACAAAGTCTGACCTTTGTGAACGCTGTAGCTTCCCTGTCATCTACGGACGAGGCTTTTTTGTTCACTCTACATGGCGGGCAATGGGAAATGTTCTTGTGAAGCCCATGAGCCTTGGAGAGTGTCTTGAGCTAGAAATGCCCTATCCAGATATAATAATTGATCTTTCTGGATGGAGGTCCAGTCTAACCATCCGTCCATCAGTGTTTGTAGCCGTCAATTTTCAAATTTGGAAAACATTCTTTTGTTTACTCATAATCTATTCAATGGCCAAAATGAATGTGTAATATTCAGAATAACTGTCTGAAATGTATCTGATATAATGACTACACAATAAAGCTTTTATAAGTGTTATGTATTATTTAAGTATGTAGTATTTAAGATACAAATCAACTCTTTTCTGCTTGGACAACAAACACTTACCAACACTTTACCTTCATACTTAGCAACAAGTAAACATGTAAATATTTAAGTGACTTTGCCTTTGAGTGGCTTTCGGAGCATAATGTATTTTGCATGTGTTATCCCACATTTGCATGAAGAACTTTTGCAGCGTAGTCTATAGGCTCGGTGTGACGGATTTCTTCTCCTCTCCACAAGACACGCGCACTTTCAGCTCATACATTAGTAAACAAACACAGAATTGCATCACGGTTTCCTCAAGGCAGCTGTGCTTTTCTTTAGCAAGCACTCGGCGGGCGGGCGGGTGGGCAGGCAGGCGGTCAGGCAGCAGGTGCTTTGGGCTAACTCTCTATTATGTCCTGGGATGAGGAGGCGTATGGACCGCGGAGAGAGTGGAGAGAATGCCAGCTGAAAAGGCGCGCTCTTAAAGTGCTGTGGGATTGGCAGGGTGTTGCAGAGTGCATAGACTGCAGCCAGCACTGAAGGGGCTAGCTGCGTGTGAGTGGTTGCCGTGAAAATTAAAATGACTGTTATGTAATGAAATATAGGTTGAACTGATCACATGCAATAAAAAAACATAGGTTTCAAACCGTTTTAAATGTTCAATTGTGTTTTAACCGGGTGTAGTTCCACAATAATTGTGGTTTCCCATCAATTTGACCTGTCCTATTTTATTGTAGCACATCACCGAAATGGGTCATCTCGAACATTGGTCGTCCCACTACCTTATAGAACCTATGGCTCCTATCTTATTATTGCATTTCCAGTGTTCTAAGTGCCAAAATAAAAAAGGTTTGCAAATAGCAAGATAGAAAATCAAACCTTAACCATTATTCTCAATCAAATAATTGGTTAAATGTTCTGGAGCATTCCCCGTTCTTAGATCCTCCTTCTTAAGCAAACTTTTGACTGGGAGTCTAAATACTTCAACATTTAGACTTTAAAACCAAAAGAAATGACTAAAATGCTTCTAAATACTGTAGTTCTTCGCACTCAAAACTATTTGGTTCTATCTCTAGTTTTCACATGCATGTATTTCTGGCCCCTATCACAACTTTAGATCAGCTTTTTCAGAAAAAAAGCTGTTAGGACAAATATGTACAGAAACCGAAAAAGTGAGGTACTCCAGCTTTTGCTTCCACTAATACCACTATATTTCATATTCCTAATTCCTATTCCTAACACTGAAAAAGGAAATTGCAGCCTCAAAAAAAAAACCCTCCACTATCGCTAACAAGGGATTAACCTCACGGCGCGTTACCTTCAGAGCCATCTCGCCGCCTTCTCACCTCGAAGTCAAATACAGTATACGGCAAATTTCTCAGCATTAAGTCGGGAAGCGATACTGACAGCCTCCGCACGTTCCGTTTACCGCGCTTTGCTTTGGGGTTAGTCGCGTCACCTCCCATTACACCTAACCCGCGGCGCACCAACACTATTGCCCCGCGGCCCGCAGCCCTTCATTGGATTTGTCAGAAGGAAGGATTGCATTTGCCTACGTGGAGCCAAGTATAACGGCTTCTCATGCACTTTAGGTTAGCTTTGGGACAGGTTAAAACAAATAGAAGGAGTCTGTCATCCACTATCGGCAACATCTTTTCCCAATGAGCCATGCTGATGCGCTTTTAATGCACCCGGATAGTGCCGTATAGCTTTGTCTGCGCGATTTATAGAGCGTACAAATACACGATCGCTATAAGCCCCGCGTTTAATGGCTCTTTATAGTTCTCAGTGCGACGCCGTTATAGTAAAAGATATGCCTCCCTGTACTTTGGAGTTTAGAGTACGATATGATACGTGTTTTGTGGGGTGTACTTTATATACTCAATTCAATTCAATGTTGTCCTTGCTGATGCAGGAGAGTCTAAGGGCAGTGGTGGTGATCCAGGACACTCCACATTCAGCGATACTTATGTACTTTTAGCAATATTTACAGACATCTGCCCCTTATGGACGGTTTGATTCTCGGATATGTTTTGGCGAATCAACAGTTTTTTAAAGTCCTCCGAGATAACTACGGATGTGATTTAAGGGTGTATCCATTGAGAAACGTCAATATGAATGTTTAGAGTTAGTGGCATTGCGTCCTTCCAAAAGCACTCTTGTATTCTTAAAGCTTTTTAAACATTTTATCTATGGAATAAAATCTAGTTCTTTGCTCTCGAACGGTTTGCTTCTATCACAGGACCTCTGTCATGTCTTTACACACATTAAAAAATATAAAATATGAGGTAGTAATTGCTTAATTTGAGTGTTTTTTGTGTTAATTTGAATTCATTCCGACTGTCCTAAAACATGACAAAGCCATTTAGTCTTATTTAATCTTTTTTCATCCATTTTGCTTTTCCCAATGGCAAATCTCGTTGTAAAGCAGTCAAGGTACCATTGCTTTAATCCTGTGTTATTCATGGTGGTGTTGTTCCTTGTGGGGCCCGCCTCTGTTCCAATCCACTTCAGCTTTTAGTGCAATTTAAAACAAATTTACTGGCAATTTTTTTTTTTTTCAATAATTATGGAAGTCAAAATGACCTCCCAGCTGTTAAGGCTAAGAGCACTCACCGTGTATCTGTCTTGTATTTATACTTTTCCAAAACACTGAAGACGTGATTTGGGGAGTGATGCCGTAAACCATAATATGTCAAAATGACCTTTGCTTTTATACTTTTAGCAATGGTTTAGTTGCATTTTAAATCAATTCCCGTATTTCCCTGTGTGTAAAAGCTGTGCTAAACCTTTTTCAAGCTTTCATGTGAGTGCAGCAGCTTGAACACAGGTGCGTCAAAGTTGAAAGCACTGTTGAAAATACACGGCTTGAGGTTATAAATTCTGAATTTGCTGAAAAAGGTCTATTTAAAAAGTAATTGCATATTTTGCCAAACTATAGGTAAAAAAAGCATTATTCTCCATGTTCTATATTCAAACAGAGAACTTGTGGATGTTATATGGAAAAGGAATTTATCTTAGGTTTTTGCCATTTAGCACTTGGGAAGAGGTTTAGCATATTCTTCTTGCCTATGTATGAACGTGAGTGAGTGAATAAACACATGGTGGTGGACAGCTACTTTTTTTCATTTTTAAATCTTTTGGATACACTTTTTCTTCCAAATGTCCTCTTGGTCTCTCTCTAGTCTCACTCTGGCCGCTCCCAAGTCTCTCTCTAGTTTCTGTTGTCTCTCTTGTCTTTCCTTGATCTCTCTCTGATCTCTTTCTAGTCTGTCTCTGGTTTCTCTCTCTCTCTGTTCTCTTTCTGGTCATTGTATCTGTTCTCTCTCTGGTTTGTCTCTTTCTCTGTTCTCTCTCTGGTTTGTCTCTTTCTCTGTTCTCTCTCTGGTTTGTCTCTTTCTCTGTTCTCTCTCTGGTTTGTCTCTTTCTCTGTTCTCTCTCTGGTTTGTCTCTTTCTCTGTTCTCTCTCTGCTCTCTCTTTCTTGTCTCTCTCTCTTTGGTCTCTCTGGTTTAGCGCTCTCTCTGGTCTCTGTTCTCTCTCAGGTCTCTCTATCTCGTCCCTCTCCGGTTTGTCTCTCACTCTGTTCTCTCTCTGGTCTCTCTCTGTTCTCTTTCTGATCTTTCTCTATCTTCTCCCTCTCTCTGGTCTCTCTCTCTCTCTCTCCCTGATCTCCCTCTCTTACACACAGCTATTAGAAACATGCACATACTTTCACACCAAACAAATCATGAAAAAGTAAGCTGTCATAGTCACTTTAATGAACTCTTTCCAGCTCAAACTCCTCCACCTCCCCTTGTACGCATACACACCCATAGAGCACTTTGTTTACAGCTCCCCCTCCTTCTTTCACACTCGTCTGACTCCTGGCCTTGCTGTCAGCGCCGCGGTTACAGTGGCAGTTTTTGTTCCTCGCAACGCTTCACTTTCAATACGTTCAAACCCCCCTCCCAATATACACAACGCTGGAGAACTCTGTTACGAATCCAAGAGCCTTCAACTTTTGTTCAACTTCCAAGAAACACCCGCAAATCAATTTCTTTTGCTTTTTCTTCCCACACACGCACCATCACTCACCGCGTAACCAGCACAAGCGCGCTATCAAACGGGAAATTGAATAGATAAACATTGGACCCCGCCTCACAAATCAATGTTTATGATGGACCTGCGCTCCTATTAAACAAATGGCGTAGGCTGGCGGGGGGTGGCGGGGGATGTCGAGGGGCCAGGGCGATGTTATCAATGCGTCCGTGTAATGAAATCAATGAAGGTGTCATCTGCTCCGAAGGCTGTGATATGTGATGGGCCAACAGCGGGCCGGGTTGGCGCGCACAAGCGGGATTTGTGGGCCGCGTTGGAACGACACCTCCGCCGCGGCATTAGGACTAAGCGTATGGGCGATAGTTCAGCTGTGACACACTGTTATGTCGTTCTGTGGTTACGCACTGCTCCTGTACGCACTGCAAAAACATTATGGAGATGAGTTGATATTAGGGATGTGCCAGATTGATCAAAGATTTTATGTTTATCTTTTTTTTCTTGATAATGATAATGAGAAGATATGTATAACCTAGGGAATTAGTGAGAAAACATGCATCTATTTGCCCAGTTTTAAGTTAAAGAGCTAAACATGAAAATATGAATGTATTGCAAGAATAAGATAAGATAAACTTTATTGATCTCACAATGGCGAAATATACCTGCATATATTATTCCGAACTTGAGTTGGATTGGTGAAGTATTCTCACAGTTATGCATGCTTCCAAGACTCTATAATCCAGTCCTGTTGACAGTCGTTTGTTCCTGCTACAAAAGTCAAATTGCTTTTGTAGCTGGAGTTTTTGAAAAATACCGTTTATTGTGGAGTTATTAATTTCTCCATTGTGAGATCAATAAAGTTTATATTATCTTTTCTTATCTTAAGGCATGACCAATGCGTTTTTGGAATGTAAATACAATCCACAAAGCTATTTTTTTGCGTCCAAAAAGCAAATTTTATTTACAAATCTTAGTCAGTTATACAACCATTCTCCAACCACGGTAATTATCTTCTTGCAAACTTTCAAACATTTGCAATTAACCATGTTGCCTCACATTTTGCCTACCACTTAGATTACTTGAAATAACGGTTACACTTTAGTTAAGAAATAGCAGCAAGTATAACTGCTGGCGCTTGAAGATTATAGAATTATGTGCAAAAAGCCATCGACTTATTGTTTTTGCAGTGCATCGAACGTGAATGCTGCTAGTTGGACTTCTAACCTTTTCCTCCCCTGTCCCCATCCCTTCCCCATCGTGCATTTCTCTGCGCTCTCCCACCTTCCATCACCACCTCCACAGGCCCCAAGCAGGACATGATCTACGATTTCTGGAGAATGGTTTGGCAAGAGAACTGCTTCAGTATTGTCATGCTCACCAAGCTCGTGGAAGTGGGCAGGGTAGGTATAACTCTCCGTCCGGTGACCTATCCCGCAAAGATGGATGGAGCCCAATGTATTTCTGGAGCTCCCTTTATCATAGGGGTTATATATGAAATGTGGTGGGAGGAAAATGGCCGCCCGCCTCTGATCATGAGCGATCACCTTTGGCTGGGGCGATGGCAACGCTCCAAGGTCAGGGCGGTTTTTTGAAAAATGTGAAGGCGACGTGTCAGCTCTGGGGGCCAGCTCACAACCGCTGTTTGTGTCACCCTGGTTGGAGAAACAGAGAGAATGTAAAGGAATTATGTGAATGTGGTTTGGATTGAACTCAAATAGTTATGTTGTGGGTGTAAATCTGTGTGCAACAGGCAAATCCTGGAGAATAGGTTGTGTTTCATCACAACAATCACAACAATCCAAAGAGACGATAGTTTAGAATTGTGGTACAATTCCTTTGTAATACCTAAAACAATCCACATTCATAGTGGATGTGGATTGTTTATAAATGGGGTTGTTTGAAGCAAACATATAAATATATAAAAGGATTTCACATAGAGATGCCAAAAAAAATATGTACGTCCAGGTAAAACAGGTAGCTTTCCAGGGTTTGTGCAAATAAAAGGGAGGAGAGATGCAAAACTGAACTAATCTAAAGGATTTTTTCATCTTTGATTAAGTAGATTTAGAGCTGTGCTTCTTAAATACTGACTAAGGGTTCATGCAGCAGAATCCACACTAACAAACTTAAAAGTAAGTGCCCAAATAAATATATATTACTGCCATTACATAGGCTGATGCTGGGAGAAGACAGAAAAAATACAGGCATGTCTTTAGTATAGCCATTATTATTGTCATGATTACAAGTTAGTATAGATTTCATAGACTGGTTGTTAATACTCAACTACTTTGGTTACCTAAAGTCCGTAGGGTTTAGTTAACCCTGCCAAAAGTGATTTCCTAACACAAACAGCTCAAATATGAAAGCAAACTGTCAGAAAAAGAATAAATCATTCTGATTTTCTCTGACAGTACAAACCATCAATATTTGGGAATCTCTTTGTGTAACTGAAATAAATGTTTGACAGGTCAAATTAAAAAGAAAATCATTTCCTGAATTTTGGCTGACAAAAAATGTCCAAAACTGTCTTTTGAGCTCCCGAAACAACACAAACAGAGTTGATCTCTTGTCAAAACATTTTGAAAAGGTTTTTATGCACCAAAGATTTTCAGTAATTTAATGTGAAACAGATAAAAGGTGGAGCTTTTGAACTTAAGAACTACAAAAATCAAGAACAGAAAGAAAAATATATACGAAAAAAAAAAAAAAACGGGAACCAAACACTCATAATAGAGCTTTGTTCCCTCATCAAAAACAGACCTTGACTTTGTTTAGACCCATCCACGCTAATGTCAGGAACTTCCAACACTGAGTGCCACATTGTAATTTCAAAAAGTTTTCTCAGGCTTAATTTTGTACACATACATTTATTATTATGAATATTATTACTTGCGGCAGAGCAAGGAGTTCGACTGTGGCTCAGAACTCTGCACGCAGCACAGAGGAATTTTATAGTCTTCATATTATACTGTATCTCTATAAACTGTGGATGGCTCAGGGGCCTGATAGAAACATCCAAAGGGCCGCATCTGGCTCACGGGCCTGGATTTGCCCACCACTGTTCTAAAACATGAAATAGTCTCATTATAATTGTTAATGCACACATTTCTTCTTTAAGATACATTGTGGACCATTGTGAACATAAACTCATGCGATAGAACATCAGTGGAATAAATCTCTCAGATGTCTTGCATTATTATGATTTTGGCAATAGATGAACAGCCAATAAATCTACAGCCTCCACAGTCATTTAAAGCAGACATTTTCTCAGACGTGGACTGGCAGGTCTGGGAAGGAGGTGGTTTTGGGGACCTGCAAGCTGGCTGAAAATACCACCATTTTCACTGCACCTTGTGATCGTGTCGGCCGGCCAATACAAAATCTGATCGAAAAATGACTTATCTTCTACTGTGTCAACACTTTTCTGCTCCGGCTCTGATGTTGGAGAGGATAGCGCGGCGTCGGCAATAAAAGCTCCCCCGAAAAATATTATCTTAGGTCATAGAAGGAGAACACATTGCCATTTTTTATTATATATATTTTTTGGTTTCAAAGTGACAAAGTTGGTTGTTTATGGTTGAGATGTATGTCCTTGGGAAGCACTCTGAACTCTTTGTTTGTCCAGATGAAGTGTTGCAAGTACTGGCCGGAAGACACGGAAATGTACGGCGACATAAAAATCACCTTATTGAAGACGGAGACGCTGGCGGAGTACACGGTCCGCACGTTCGCCATGGAGAGGGTGAGTGCGATTTTGTTCCTGTAGCAGACAAAATGTATTATCAAGATAGCATCATTCATGTGGGATTTTGTAAACACTGCAAAACCATGAGAAATAGGTTCATATAGTAAGTAGTAAGTCAATAATCTGTATCTATATAGCGCATTTCACAGACCAAGTTCACTTAAAGCGCTTTACGATGTTACAGATACAGATAATTTTCCATTTTCTCCACAAATGGTATATGTTTGGATAGGACAAGATGTTGCAAGATGTATTTTCCAACAAATGGAATATTATCTTATTCATTTGTTTATTTATTATATCTCATGTCATTCTTCTCCACTCTGTTTACATTTGGATTGGACTGAATATTGAGAATCACTGGTGCCAAAAAGCATAAAGATATTGGATAAAAGACCATGTTTTGTGTCGTCAACGTATAATATATTATTTTTTCGAAGATAAACCGTAAAACCTTCGAAGTAGTAGAATGACAAAAGTACAATTTCTCGTTCCAAAATTGTCATCTCTAATAACAGGGTTATTAATAACATTAATAACAGGGTTTCAAGTCAGTTGTTTTCATAGTGATTTGATTGAGACCCGTTAGCATTCTGTTAATGCAGAAGGGATTGGATATATTGGCAGGCATATTGGTTCCAACCCTCGGTCTCTAGGATGGTGGTCCATTCAAGTCAAGGGTCCGTGCTCATTACCGTGCTCATTCCGTCTGATCGGAAATTGGATGGCTCAAAAATTAGTGAAAGACCAGCATTTTGGTTAGCACTGGTCTTCCGGGAAATATATAGAGTGGGCCGCTTACTAGATTTAAACAGGCTAAGAAGAGGTTTTCTTACTGTTTTCAAGCAAACAAGCCAATGTGTAACAAGTCAACTCTCTGACGAAAGAATAATCAGCAAACTGATGATCAAAATAATCCTTTTTTACTGCCATCGTCAAGTGGTGCTTCCTTGTTTGCACAATGAAAGTAAGTTGTGAGCGCTCTGACCAATCAACGTGCAGAAATTAGCTCGGCGATTGAGTGGGACGAGTTTGTTGAACTAACTTGTGGATTTACCAAAAAACGACTGGATTTCAAATAAAAAAAATATGCAAATGCGGAGCTCGTTTTAGGCAAATACCCAAGATGGCTGCGGCTGAATGTATCAATTTGTATATCACACATTATATAACTGAGAAATAACAGAGTGTATGCCATTCCTGTTGATTGCTACAAACACATTAAAAAAGTTACGTATTTAACTTTTCTGTTTTCTCTGATCGATTATTTAGCTGTCCAATCACTACACATGAATCAGGCGTTTGTTGCAGGGATCCAGACCCTCATGTATTTGAAAATAATTAGTGTAGAATTGTGTGCTCTGTTTGCTCAGGCAAGCGATTTGACGGTATATGATCAACATCCAGTTATATATGTGTATACAGTTTGAGACTCAAAACACGGAGTGGGAACAACTACTCTAAACGGCTTATGGAATTATTATGCAAACATGACCATGGCGCCCAGGGCAATGTCGACCTGTTTCCTAACATGAAGTCCACCTCTGCTGAGTTCATTGCTGATGTGGAGCTCTGGTCTTGAATTTGATAGCTGTGCAGATTTGTATCCTTTTTCATATCCTCTACTTATTTTAATGCAGCGTGCTAGATCATGCCATTACTTGAAACCCTCTTGCACTTGATATTCAACATGGTACTTTTCGTCACAGAGAGGGTACCCGGCCAAGCATGAGGTGTGCCAGTTCCACTTCACCTCGTGGCCCGAGCATGGCGTCCCCTTTCACGCCACAGGGCTGCTGGCCTTCCTCCGGCGCGTCAAGACGTCCACCCCTCCGGATGCAGGTCCTGTGGTGGTTCACTGCAGGTAAACAACCAACCAACTCTATCTGTCCAGTCTAGTGTTCAGTTTAATCAGAATCTGGCTCATGGCTCACGGGTAATACAAGTTGGTTAAAAAGATATAAAAGAATGCATGCAAAATCTTTCTACAGTACACACTAAACACATAATAGACATTTAACAGTGAAGGTTGAAGTGACAGTAGTCTAATGTGACAACTGTAAAGGGCAGGGGTCTAGTGATGAATTATGAAGAGTTCATGAGTCTTCCTGCCGAGGGGGAAAAACTAACATGAAACTAAACTGGTTCCTATCACAATGAACACACATTTACCACTATGTTTGAACGTTTATCCACCCAGCAGAAATGTCACTGTTTAGGCCGTTTATGGAGATTGAATGCAAGGTTTTGCTTATGAAGGACCAGCCATGAAGAATGTACCTTCACAACGACAACAAAAGAATAGAAGAAAAGATTAGTTTCTTCTGTAATTATAATAAAAAATAAAATAAATAAAGAAACAATGGCTTCCCCTAAACACTAACAATGGCAAAAATGTGGAAAACTCAAAATGCCTTTCAAACACAACTGAAAAAGCAACAAAGCTCTCACAAATACAAATGAAACAACATTATTTTCTGTATTTAGAAGTTCATATTGTTTATGCACTGCAGCTCGGGTTTGTTGACTCTCAAATGGTGTCGATGCATGAGCTTTTTACTATTTAATACGGCCCCTATTACCAGAATGAGTGTGCAAGGCCACTGAGAATAGCACTGAATAACAAACACATTTTAATACAACCTGGGGGCACGCGGTAATGACATGCTTTGGAGAGATTTATTATTGCATTTTTTTGTACTTATGTTCTAGTTCCGTTTGACAGTGATTTGTGCCTAAAACGGCCCAATACAGTGTTGCATAAGGTGAAGGCGGTTGTAAATGTCTGCCCCACTGTTTTAAACATTTAAGCGCGTAAATCTGGCTCTAGACCATAAAGTTCTTCCACAGCGAGGATCCATAGTTGTTGTTAAATTGGGCTTTGATTGGTTCTGTGATATATTGTCTGCCTATCAAAATGCTATGAGAGAATTTAATGTAATACACCCACAATGCTGGGTTTGGAGTCCATATAGTAGAGAATGTATATTTGCATGCACTGATATCCTACCCTCTCTGTGATGGTAAGTATCTAGCAGGGAGGGGAGTTAGGTCCAAAGCCCTCTAATGTACACTAATATTAGAAATCTTCTAATATGGAAGGGGAAAAAACTGATTTTGCCCGTCCATTTAAAAGCTCCTGTCTGAGTCATGTAATAGTAAGATGTCATTATACTACTATGACATTATGCTCAGAGAAGTATCTTGCCTTTTGAAACAAAAGTATTGCTCATAAATGTGTTTTGTCAATTTCTCAGGTGAAATTAGTTCTGTATTTGTAGCAAAAAATGTTGAAATAAAAAAAAGCTCAGGGAGTTTAAAAGCATTTTTGCCACATATTTTGGTAGAAAGTGGATGATTGTTGTGAAGTTAGCATTTGGAGAAACATCATGAGGAAGAAGCCAGACTCTGGAAAGGAGGCAGCCCTTTATCCCTGCGTCAAGCGAACCCTGGGCCTGTATGTGCCTGTTTTTGAACAAAAACTGTTTTTGATTTTGAATCTTAAAAAACTGAGCTTCACTTTAGCCACAATTTTCCAAAAACCCTTGTTTTCTGAGAGGTCAAAAAGTGGAAGAATATGTTGGGTCTAAAACTGACACAATTAAAACATTTTACGACAAACACTTTTAAGTTCAAGTTCAACATCAGTTTACCCACAAATATGCAAGTGAGGAAGCAGACTGAAGTTTCATTGTTAAATTGGAATTCATGTATTATTCATGTAGCGTCGCAAAACGCATCAAAGGCACACCTGCTCGTTGCCATGGATATGTTATTGCTTTGCTTAGAATATTCCTCAACTACTGTATGAGACTCGGACAATGTGTAGTTACATCATGCCATGCTGTGCAACGAAACACACAATATTATTTCAACCTGGAGAGACTACAAGAGACGAGATGCGTTTAAGAGTTGTTTATTTTATGGATTGAGTTCGTTTATTGGTTTGGAGCTTAGGCCCCGGCTGTGGCCGTGCTCTGGAGAGATCTGCGCCTGGGTGCAGATCATGATCCCCCGGGGCCTAGACACTGGTGGTGGCAACAAGGCAAGGTGAATGTGAGAGTGAAGAAATCCTGAGGCGGAGGTGGGGAGGAGGTGGTTGCAGCTTGAAGTCCGTTTGGTGAGCTGTGCTCTGCTTTGCTCTTAAACGCTGGCTTGATTGACACGGCTGCGGGGAGTTGATTAAGACAGGCTGAGTAAGGCGTGGTCAAGCCTGGCGTGATAACGTAGGTAGTCTACCATACTGAACCTCCGCTTAAGCTCCATTTCAACCTGGAGAGACTAAAAGAGACGAGATGCGTTTAAGAGTTGTTTATTTTATGGATTGAGTTCGTTTATTGGTTTGGAGCTTAGGCCCCGGCTGTGGCCGTGCTCTGGAGAGATCTGCGCCTGGGTGCAGATCATGATCCCCAAAAAGAGAGCTTGGCTAGCGATGCGTTTGCCATGACTTGGTTGCTGCGTTTATGGAAGGCGCATGGTGTGAGTGACTGTTTCCGTGCGCGAGCTCGGCTCTGGCGCTAGGCGTTGGCACGCGCACGAGCTCGGCTCAAGTGCGCGGCGTAATGCCCGGGCGCGAGCTCGGCTCTAGCGCTAGGCGTTGGCACGCGCACGAGCTCGGCTCAAGTGCGCGGCGTAATGTCCGTGCGCGAGCTCGGCTCTAACGCTAGGCGTTGGCACGCGCACGAGCTCGGCTCAAGTGCGCGGCGTAATGTCCGTGCGCGAGCTCGGCTCTAACGCTAGGCGTTGGCACGCGCACGAGCTCGGCTCAAGTGCGCGGCGTAATGTCCGTGCGCGAGCTCGGCTCTAACGCTAGGCGTTGGCACGCGCACGAGCTCGGCTCGAGTGCGCGGCGTAATGTCCGTGCGCGAGCTCGGCGCTAGCGCTAGGCGTTGGCACGCGCACGAGCTCGGCTCGAGTGCGCGGCATGCTGGAAATGAGGAGTTGCCACCACCAGGAGATGCATACGTACTTATATGAGAGGAGGCGCTGGGCTGCCAGAACGGATGAATGTGGTAGAGAACTGGGGACCGAGCTCCTGGAGAGATGATTGAGGGAGTCCCAGGGCAGCAGTCCAAGTGGCTGCTCCTATCCGGAAGGAGTGGCGGGTGTAGAGAAAGGAAGAGAGGTTACATGCAGGGAGCAGAGGTTTTGAATTTGTTCAGACCAGGGGGTCGTCGAGGGATTGTTTAAGGAGTAATTATAGTCTATGAATGTTGATAAAATGTCCATAGATGTTGTAGAATGTTAAAGTATCCTGGATCATCACCACGGGCCTTCTAGTTGGACACTAACTGTCCAGACCCTCCTGCATGGCAAGGAAAACTCACAAAACCCCGTGGGGAAAAAAGTGAGAAACCTTCGGAAGACCCTACATAGAGAGAGGGAATCCACTCCACGGACAGACAGGCTAGTCGTCCAGGACCTAAACTACAGAACAAGGACCATGCCAATACTTCTTTAAGGATCTTCTTATGAGGGTGGAGCAGTGTGACTCGAAGTGGATTTTAGAGAATGTATTTAATGCCGATGTAGATGAGGCAGTGACGGCAGTACCCGCGATGCTGATGTCCAGAGACTGAGAGTGTGCAGTGAGAGGGAAAGGAGAATGCTGAATGAAGGATGAACTGCTGGTGTTTAGAGCGCTGATATTCGAACATGATTCCACTTGGGGAGACTAGAAGGTGAAAATGAGATTCATGAAGTACACTTACCCAGGAAGATTGATGTTCGATAGGAGATCTCTGGACCCCCAAAAACCAACGCACGAGGGCCCGGTCAGAATGAGGGCCAGGGTGCGTCAGGTAAGGCGAAGCGTGAGACAGGCCCGGCGGCAGGAGCCGCACCAGGAGACCAGGAGAGAATATGCCTGGGGAACATGAGAAGGAGCACCGCCTACAGCCACTCAGAGTGCACGCAAACCGTGGCGGGCAGTGCTGCACACCAAAAGCCAATGAGTGCGGCCTGGGGAAGATAGCCGGCCAGGTTTGAAGGCCACGCCGAACAGTACTCATGCAGTCTTAGCAGGCCAGCGTTGCAGCAGGCCACCGTCGCGGCGTTGTAGCAGAGCTTTGGTGCGGCGTTGCGGCATCGCGTTCCTGCGAAGCTGAAAAGAGAAACCTCGAACCACTATCACTCGAGTGAAAAGGAACAACGGGCAGTGTCAGACCGCGTCTTCAGTCAGACCGCGTCTTCAGTCAGACCACGTCTTCAGTCAGACCACGTCTTCAGTCAGACCACGTCTTCAGTCAGACCACGTCTTCAGTCAGACCACGTCTTCAGTCAGACCGCGTCTTCAGTCAGACCACGTCTTCAGTCAGACCACGTCTTCAGTCAGGCCACGTCTTCAGTCAGACCACGTCTTCAGTCAGACCACTGACCTGATCCTTCGATGCCGGCTCTTCCCGTCATTGTGAACCAGAACTCTCCTAGCGTTGGATTGTTCACCCACCAATAGGGAATGCGAGTCCATGGTCGACACTGGTTCCACGATGAATGGATGAGAGCACACGAATGCGTCGAAGCATGAGGTCGAGAATGCGGCAGGAGGCGGAGACCGACGTGGAAGCGTGTGCGCCGACCGACGTACGGCGATGGAGCGTGCGGCCACCGACGTGTGCTGCGATGAAGCGTGCTGCGTCAAAGCGTGCGGCGTCGTTGAAGCGTGCTGCCTCAAAGCGTGCTGCCTCAAGGCGTGCGCCGTCGTTGAAGCGTGCGCCGTCGTTGAAGCGTGCGCCGTCGTTGAAGCGTGCGCCGTCGTTGAAGCGTGCGCCGTCGTTGAAGCGTGCGCCGTCGTTGAAGCGTGCGCCGTCGTTGAAGCGTGCGCCGTCGTTGAAGCGTGCAGCGTCGTTGAGGCGTGCAGCGTTGTTGAGGCGTCAAGGCGTGCGACATCCAAGCGAGCGGCGTCCAAGCGAGCGGCGTCGTTGATGCATGCGGCTGCGTCAAGGCGTGCGCCGGCGTCAAGGCGTGCGCCGGCGTCAAGGCGTGCGCCGGCGTCAAGGCGTGCGGCGTCCAAGCGAGCTGCGTTGTTGATGCGTGCGCCATCGTTGATGCGTGCTGCGTCAAAGCGTGCTGCGTCAAAGCGTGCTGCGGCGTAGCGTGCGGCGTTGTTGAGGCGCCAAGGCGTGCCGCGTCAAGGCGTGCGCCGCCCAAGCGAGCGCCTTCGTCGATGCGTGCGCCGTCGTCGATGCGTGCGCCGTCGTCGATGCGTGCGCCGTCGTCGATGCGTGCGCCGTCGTCGATGCGTGCGCCGTCGTCGATGCGTGCGCCGTCGTCGATGCGTGCGCCGTCGTCGATGCGTGCGCCGGAGTCGATGCGTGCGCCGGAGTCGATGCGTGCGCCGGAGTCGATGCGTGCGCCGGAGTCGATGCGTGCGCCGGAGTCGATGCGTGCGCCGGAGTCGATGCGTGCGCCGGAGTCGATGAGTGCGCCGGAGTCGAAGCGTGGAGGAGGAGTCGAAGCGTGGAGGAGGAGTCGAAGCGTGGAGGAGGAGTCGAAGCGTGGAGGAGGAGTCGAAGCGTGGAGGAGGAGTCGAAGCGTGGAGGAGTCGAAGCGTGGAGTCGTCGAAGCGTCGTCGAAGCGTGCGGCCACCGAAGTGGCGTCACCGAAGCGTGCGGCCACCGAAGTGGCGTCGGCGAAGCGTGCGGCCGCCGACGTGTGCTGCGATGAAGCGTTGAAGTGAGGCCGTTGAAGCATGCCTGAAGGCCAACGCACTGGTTAAAAGTGCTGGTTGTCGAACAGTACAGAGGGGCTCGGCCGCGCTCCGACCAATCAGAGCAGCTCATCAGACACGGACAGCCGGGAGGCAATACAGTGGGCAAAACTTACAGTCCACGGTCAAATAGACAGCGCAAAGGCCAAGCAGACGACAAATGTTATAGTCCATGGTTACAACTGACAGCCTGAAGGTCAATGCAGTGGGTAAATGTTCAGACCATAGTCAAACGGACAGCCTGGAGGTCACTGCATTGTGTAGAATGTTCATCCCATGAGTAAAACGGACAGCCAGAAGGCCAATACAGTGGTTAAAATGTGCGGTCCATGGTGAAAACGGACGGTCTAAATGCCAACGCAGATGGTAAAACGAACAGCCTGCAGACAATGCATCGGGTAAAAACACAGCCTGCGAGCCAATTCGGCGGGATTAACTGACACGCCGCAGTTCAGTGCAGTTCATGGTAGTGGGGAAAACAACGAAACGGACACTGTACCGTGAGAGGAGGCAGGGAGACGGGTGGGCAGAGGCAGCAGACGACGGCAGGCAGACAGAAGTCTCGTTCCCGGTATGGAAGCGGCAGGGTGCGCGGAGCCTGGCCGCGAGCGCAGCGGCCACGGGGAGACGAGCGGCAGCGAGTCCGCAGGAGAGGACCCGCGGTGGAGACACAGCGACCATGGCGCGCAGCCCCAAACATGTGATGTTGAAGAGGAGCCGCGACCATGCAGGACGAACAATGTGCGAAGCGTGAGTAAACAAAGTGACGAAGAGCAACCCATTGCAGCTTGAAGTCCGTTTGGTGAGCTGTGCTCTGCTTTGCTCTTAAAGAAGCTATACCCGATTTTTTTTCTAAGTAGTTCATAAAAATGCTTTTTACTACATACAAGTTGTATCATAATACATCATTTAATTGAAAACTTGAGGTAATTGATTCAGCTTTGTAAGAATTACAAGCAGTGAAAAGTGCTGAGTAGAGTCTGAGCGGGCCGCTCTTTCTCCTCCGCTCACAGAACGAGCAGCGAACAGCCTGCGTCCTCTAGCCTCTACAGCGCTGGACTTCAAAATTCGAATATAATTCTAAAATAAAAAATGATGAAAAAAATTATTGAATAAAAAAATTTGAACAAATATTAGACAACCCTTGTAATTCGAAATGTATTGAATGACTGCAAATAAAATAGTTAGCTCCCAAAGGTTTCACCGGGACGTGCTAGGCAGGTAACAGCTAAGCTAGCTAGCTGTTTCATGGTAACTTCCGGGTTTTTCGCAATCGCTTTTTGTCACATTGAAACAGTATTTTTGTCATGAAAACGTTAACAGCAAATTCTGAAATCATCCGTGCATGTGTGTTAAGGATGTATATGTGTACTTTATTGTCCGATTGACGTTTAATGGTGTTGTTTTATAGATATGTAGTTGTTTATTGAGCGTGGCTAGCTCCGCTAGCTTCTCCACACAGACAAGTGTGTAGTGACAGGTGCTGATAGCGTTTTGTACTTGCAGAGTAATGGCAGTATTTTACACACCTGAATTACAAACAGGTTGCATTGGGGCTTCGGTCATTATTGGTTTGAGAGTTCTGTTATCAAGAAAAAATGATCGGAAGAATTGCTGCTGCTGCTTTGAGTAGCTCTATAACAAATTATAATTAAATATTAGAATATATTCTAAGGTTTTAAATCAATACATTCGGACGCGAAACTAGCGGTATTCTTTTACTTATATATTGTGTTAGCAGTGCGTTGCTTTAGTGCCATTTCATCAGTGATAGTTGCGCTAATGCTAATGTTAGCATATGTATCAGATCGCAAATAAAACTAGGTGGCTCTGTGTTATGAGAAATGAGAAGCCATTGAGCGAGTTGGGGGGCGGTGCTAAACATTCAAACATTGCAGAAACGGGTATAGCGCCTTTAAACGCTGGCTTGATTGACACGGCTGCGGGGAGTTGATTAAGACAGGCTGAGTAAGGCGTGGTCAAGCCTGGCGTGATAACGTAGGTAGTCTACCATACTGAACCTCCGCTTAAGCTCCATGACATTACAGTAGATAGACACAGAGAAGTTGCGATGTCCACTTTAACTGTCTTTTGTTGTTTACACGCTCTCTCTCTCTCTCCGCTGTTGCTAGCATGGGCGCAGGCCGGACCGGGTGCTACATAGTGCTGGACGTCATGCTGGATATGGCCGAATGCGAGGGAGTGGTGGACATCTACAACTGTGTGAAGACCCTCTGCTCGCGACGCATCAACATGATCCAGACAGAGGTGAGTGGGACCGTCAGTGTTTATTTGTATAGCGCAATCTAATACACAGGGCAAACCAAACAAAAAAGGAAGCAGCATCTAAATCAGAGGTGTCTAAACGTTTTAGTAAGTGGGTCACTTTAGCTTTAGCCAAAATTACAAAGTTAGGGTCGACAAAGTTATTATGCTAAAGTTGGAGATTTTATTTCATTTTAGTATATAGTTATTCATTTATTTTGTATGGTGTACTCCTACTTCCTACTGTTCTGCAATCGGTGACGCAACACTGAAATTTCCCCACTGTGGGATGAATGCATTATCACTCAATCTTGATCAACACTAAATCTATTTTCACTGTTGCTGAGCTAATTCACATTTGACTGAGCTGAAGTTGGCTAAATACAAATGTTTACTTTCTCACCAAATACTATAGTGCCATATTCAGAATGTCACAACACAAAAAGTCAGCACATACAAATGAAGTGAACAACTGGATTCTAGAGGTATAGCATGCAAGGTGGCCCGGGAATTTACCCAAACTGCAGGCTTTTTGCCAAGAAGAGAGTATAATGGAATAATAAATCTCTCCTAAAATGTAACAAAATCCTATTATTTAACATTATTTGAATGTCATGGTGCAGGGGCTTGCCATACATATGAGCACAATATTAGCTTCATCCATACAATAAGGCTACATGCCTATAAAGTCAAGACGCGTATAGTTTCAAAAACGTTGAACAGAATCTCTGTGAACATACTGTATGTGTCCCCATGAAGTCAATACGTCTGTAAACGCTGTGAAACTATGCCATGCCTGTAGGTGGCGGTGTCACACACTGGGAGCAAGGTCAGGCTTCTGTGAAGGCATTTAATATTGGCATGCTCACTAGTGCAGACATTTGTAAACAGACAAAAGTTGACGTTATTAGGATATGTGTAACAATGTGTAAATCTAGACTTGAAAGGTGCGTATTGGAGGATTTTCCCAAATTTGAGGAAAGAATCGCTCTCTCCACTTTTTTGACAAAACTGGTCTTATTTGACGAGCCCGTATCACCAGAATTATTGACATTTGGGAGAACCAATAGTCTTGATGATCCACCCGGAAGTAGAAAATCATCCTATATACCTTTTAATAGATCATCCTGGTTTTATTTTTATACTGTAACTTTTCGTCACAAACTTCAGATTGATGCAAAACTATTACTTACCTTCACACAACAATAATTCGACAACAATATCGGCTGTTTGTTCGACCTCTCCAGCCGCACTGACTCCATAATGAACCTCACACAGAGCCTTTTTCTTATTCAAAAACTTTCTTATCACTTACACCACGGCGCCCAGGACGAGTGCTTAAAAATCCGGCGTTAATTGCGGCCGCACGAGTAAACCCAAAGCGCCTGTAATTGCTCGTACAGATAAGACACAGGAAATATATAAATAACAATTCTTATTAACTGCAGTCAGAACGCACACCGCCGCGCTCACCTTTTTAACTCGCGGTTTTTGTGTGAAATAAACGCGCGCAATTAGCCTCTACATAGAAAATGGTAAATAAGTTGCAGACAGCCCAGCGAGATGCCAGGTTTTTGATCTTTTGTTGGCCGGAATGTCAAAATAAAGCGGGCGAGTTTAGCGGATAATTGCGCTCCTCATTATGTTTTTAATGCAGTGAGTGGGCAGCGTATCAGGGTCCTTTACTTTCCCCCATTTGCACAACATTTCACGCCTGGACATAATGCGCGAAGAGGAGAGAGCTTTGGCGATTGTGGATATTTGGCAGTAATTAACACGAAGAATTGTTATGGTTCATGAGCGGTTAATTAAAACGAGACAGGATGTAGATGTCGTGTTCTGTCTGTGCGTCTGCCTTGGAGATGAAAGAGTTTTGCTTCTATTGCTTAAAGCTTCCTCAGCGTAAACTATCTTTTTTTTTTTGTAATTTGAAACATGTGTCCTTTCACCAGAAAAAGTCCAAATTAGAAAATCCAATCCGTCATTTGCACTGGAGAATAACTTTCAAACCGCAAACACGGAACTAGGTAATAAAATCCAACTAACCAGATCTTAACTTGGTTCTGCCGCTTGGTTTCACAAGTATTTTGGCCTCTGTCACTTCTATAGATCATCTTTTTCAGACAGAAAAGTGAAAAATAAACGACTACCCTCTCTCAGTGTCAAGTAGAAGGGCTCATTGTTACAAGTATGCAAAAAAAAACATTCTTAAAAAGATAAAATGTTGTTCTTTCACTCAAAAAGAATAGTATTATTTCTTATTGTAAAAAGTAGGGCTTTTCCCGCTAAAACCAGTAACCGTCATGACGTCACTTGTGTTTTTCACCGTCTAAACCCCTCATAGCAGTTAACTCATATTGGCTAGGTTATATGATATGGTTAAAGCCCTCATTTATTGTTGATCATTTGTATTTAAGGCTTAGGTATTGTTAAATTGTATATTCTTTTTTTATTTACTTAAAGATATAGATTAAGAAGAATATATATTTCTAGAACACCTGTATTGGTAACAGTATGAAACCTCCCATTGGTCGTCTTATAACCGTGTGTAGACCTGGATGAATGTCTTTGATGTTAAAATCAGCATTTGTGTGTGTTGCCACGGTGTGCTTTGCAGGAGCAGTACGTCTTCATCCATGACGCCATCTTGGAGGCGTGTCTGTGTGGAGAGACCGCCATCCCCGTGAGCGAGTTCAGCCCCACCTACAAAGAGCTGCTCAAAGTGGACTCCCAGTCCAACACCTCGCAGCTGCGCGAGGAGTTCCAGGTAACACATTATTATTTATTCACCCCTTCATTTTCTTTTTTTTCAGGGATGTGACGATGATTTTAGAGTTTGCACATATTATATTACATTTACATCCAAAGTCAAAATGTTGTCTGATCTCACTGTTACAATGCAAACAATATGTATTATGTATGAAACTTTTCTCTCTTCTCATGTCATTACCTTGCCAACATGGGGGTATTGTAGTAGTCTCAGTGTGTGTGTGTGTGCGTGGGTCTGTTGGCAGGGCTTTGCAGAGGGCGCTTGAGCTGAAATCTGACGTGTTTGGGATCTGAAGGTAGAAAGACCCCATTAAAATTCCCAAGATGGTTCAAGGTGTTGGCGGGTGTGCGTTCTCACAGTACCCAATCAAATTGTAAACAGGAATGTTCTCTGAGAAGTTTGTGTAAGCTCTCAGTTCTCTGAGAAGGGCATTTAAAAAGTTCAAGCTTGTGTTAACTTGCCATAAAACCAGAAATTAATGTGGTTTTTGAATGTGTTTAAAGTCATTTTGAGGAATAGTAAGAACGGGTGAGGAAGAAGAAATAGCTGGAACTGTTGTAAATTGTTTTTTGCAGATTTTCTCTTCCCTCTGAAGTCTACGGCACTTTAGGCTCTTGACGTTGTAATATAAATAAACTTGACTTTGACTCTGACTTTAGGTGTGCGCTAAAATGCGGCCTGAGAACAAATAGGATCTGGTTCTGACACAGCCTTAAAAATGAGGCGGTCTGTGCGCAGATCCAACAAACAAGTCATGAATAATGTCGGGAGGTTTTATTCCAATGCACTTTGTTCCCATCAATACAAGAACAACCGCAACTTTTTACACTTCATAAAATCCAACACTGTCCAATGGATAGAAAACAAGGAGTGAAACCATGCAAGCAATATATTTTGTAAATTACGTTAAAAAAAAGAAGAAAAAAAAGAAGTATGGTATGTTTCCACCAAAGATCATTTCTATGAGTATTCCAGAAAAACGTATTAAAAAATCCTAAGAAATCCCATTTGGGCAAATAGGTATAATTTTAGATTTAATCAAATGTATTTATATAGCACATTTTAAAAACAGCCTGCTGATGCCCTGATTGTCGAGAAGTCACTGAAACCCATTTACTGCTACTGTTATCAAAATGTGTGTGTCAGATTTAAAATGTATGTCCATTTGTGTGAGGTATGTCAGTCAAAAAAAATCAGTCCTAAGTCAATAAATAACTTTGACAAATGAAACAAAACAAAAACAAAATTGGAGCATAAATAGTTGAAGACAGATCAAGATTTGTTTTAAAATAAAAATGCAAAAAGATATAAAACTTGATGAAAGTTCACATTTTTGTATTAATTATTGAGTATTCATTTTATAATACATAAGAAATGAAACCTATTCAAGTGTAGATGTCTTAATCATATTTTTTTCTGATAATTTCATTTGTAAATGGATGATTTTGTGACTTTAGAGATGTTTTGGCACAGTCTGTTAAATGGTTGCTTGGTAACATCCTTTGCATAATGACATCAGTTAAATCAATTAAAATGTGTTCATCAAAACCTGTACCAAACATTATTACATAACCAAAAAACAGTTAAAGGTGATGTCAGTAACTTTAACTGTATTTCATGTTTTAATGCTGTCAGAAAGTTTATTTCAGCCACTTTGATAGATAAGACAAGACAAGTAAGATTTCCTTGAGGATAATAGTTCGACCAATGGCAAAGATCTTAAAGGAATAGGTCACCGTTTTTACATACTGACATTTGTTCTTACCTTACCTTAGACTAGTTGATATAATAACTGGATAGGGTATTACTAGCTTGTAGCTGAATAACTCATGTGCTCGGGGGATTCTCGCGGTACTGCAGAGAGAAAGCACAGTGACACTTTTGGGTCAGTCTCACTGCTGAATGTATCAATCTAATTACTAAAAAACGTCACTAAAACTCACCTAAATGCCATAAGATAGCATAGGTAGGAAGTGAACAGGCTGTGCTTTGTTAACAGGAAAAGTACACGACATACCCTTTAAATTCTACCTCAGCCACTCAACACAGACCCTTGTTGAATCAGAAAATTGTAAATATACCAACACATGGAAATTATGGCAAATAGCGTCGCTTGATTGTATATTTATGTTTATATATTTGCATGTGTACGCATATATACTGTAATCGCAGTAGGCCACAGAACAACGTACAGAAGTATCTCGATAATCTATGGAATGTAAATATTGTTGGCCCTTATGAATGTGTAATTTCTGCTTGAATTAATAAAATCAATCAAGGAAGTAAGTTTAAAAAAAAAATCCCAACCAGGCTTTGTTGTTGGACTTTTAGTTTGTTGTTCTGGCCATATTGGAATGATCTATGGTGGGAAAAATACTATTGCAATTTCAAAAGACAAATTTACCCAGACTGTATTGGATTATGAGGACTATGCATGAGATATTTTTATGTTCAAAACCCAATCTTCCCTTGCATCTCCAAAACCGGCCATGTGGCATCTACGCACAGTGCAAAAAGCTATTGTTATTCCCGGAACAGTAGCAGCAGCTGTCGTCTTTTCTCTTGTTTTCTAATTGTCTTTCTATCGCTTGGATGCCTTTAATTTATTGTCGCCCATTATACTCAGACCTGCAGATTATTGGAATTAACAGATGGTGGGCTAAAAGGCACGGACATGGCACTAAATGTAAATAATGCAATGTAAAAGAAAAAAGAAAAAAGCATATTTCACCATAATAGCCATAATTAGGATCTATGTACGTCCGTAGTAGTAATTTCTTCTAAATGCCAATGACGACAAACAATTGTGGTTCTGTGTAATTGCGTTTAGCCCACGAATACACTTCCCAAAAGAAATGTCAATGGCGGCCATAACCAGTGATTGGTCGATACAACGCCATGTACATTTTCCAATTAGCTGCTCTCATGCAGACTGTGTGCGAAGAGGCTTGAATAGGATTTATGCTGTGAGGAATTTGCAACATAATTTAGTTATTTCTATCTGATTTATATTATAGATAAAAGAAAAAGATACAAAATGCTGTACAATGGGTATGTGCATAGATCATGGTGCTTATGGACAAAGATAAGAGATTTTGACATACACTAGAGAAGAAAGAAAAACAATACAAACACAACAGAAAGACAATTATAGAATACCACGTGCATTTTAGGGCATTTTCACATAAACATTGTACAGTGTTTGTTTTTTGTAATTGGTAATCATGGTAGGCATTTCTCATCATTCTGAAACCCATGGGAAAACAAGCATTCTGGTTTTTTCCTCTACTCGGAAAACTCAGTTGGAAAGCAATTAGACTGAACTGGTTTCTTTCATTGCTTCCCGCTAGATCCTACTTCAATTCAATTCAATTCCATTTATTTTTGTAAAGCCCTAAATCACAACAGCAGTCGCCTCAGAGGACTTTACAAAGTTGTCAAATCCTCAGATCAGAGAATCAAACGTTTCAAACTCAGGAAATGTAATAATAACAGACAGGAGCCATTGGTCCAGAAGGAGCGGGACGACCAATGTACACACATGTTTTTTAATGTTCATAAATGCTAAAACATGGACATATATTTCCTAAAATGTTAATATAATGTCCTTAAATGTCCCGGATCATCACTGTTCTTGGACCCTACTGCATTGGCGAGGACGACAAAAAAGAAAGACAATGGAAGTCGTTCAACCGGAACCCTTGAAAAAGAGGTCTTTAATGTGATTGGGTTTTGACCTGGTTAAAGAAAGGTGAAAGAGAAAAAACCACGACAATGGTTAATCAACTTCTACAATAGATAACAGATTCTACCAAAGAATCGAACCCTCCAGGGCAGAAAAAAAGCACACATATTTTTTGAAATGTTTTAACAACTGAAACTTTAGTTGGATCGTGGCACTTTAACAGAACATTTTAGTACTCTTCTTAAGCCTGGTTCACACGGCAGGATAATTAGGCCAATTTTGGACCCGATTTACCCCTACGACAATCTTTAAGAACGCTCCGGTTATCGTAAAAAATAATCTGATGGATTTTCCTGCCGTGTGTGGTGTGTTAAGACTGTGCTCGTCGCTCGGAAGGACTTCGGGACTGCTCCGATCTCAATATCGGGGATATCCAACATGTTGGATTGTTTTGGCCCGATTTCTCTTCGTGTGTGGTGTCCCCCGGGGACAGACTCTCCTCCATATCATGATGTAGCAAGTACAGTCCTTGCTCGCGTTGTCTACACTTCTTTGACCATCGCCTTTTCTTCTGATTACGTCTTTTCTCTGCTAAAAACAAACTATCACCACTGCATCCTCTTCGTCTGCCATGATTGTTTACTCTGAAAGTCACGCTTGAGCTCGAGAGATTTTGTGAGATTTCCGTCTGATCTGGGAATGCACGGGGTGAAATCGGTTTGTGTGTGATGTGTGTGGTTTGTGTGATTTTGCCGTGTGGCTGCGCACCACACACTGTACGACCAAAGTGGTTAGACCGACAATTTTAAAATAGTCTCGTGTGAACCAGGCTTTAGCGTAGTTAGGAATAGGCAATGTGAACAAATGCCGTCTTCCAGAGTGTCCAGAGGGGGCTTCCATCTTGTAGCAATGTTGTTAGACTATATACACATGCAGCACATAAGAAAAATGCTGTCAAATTGCACACACATAAATCTGTGAAACAGCGAACCAGGTCAAGGCGCAGGACCAGCATTATTTCCTTTAGAAGTACGCAAAAGATGGTCAGAATATCTTCACTGCATTTGCACAAATAGAATCTTCAATCTTCCAAAATGTGTATTAATTCCATGTTCCTCAAACAAATCCAATACTTTTTCTCTGCTTCATTACAACATCTTTTACTCACAGCTTGTTCCATTCTCTATGATAGACCTGGGTATGGTGCATAGCTGTTTTAACTAATGCCACGGGCTTGTCCACTTTAATGCAGTTATAATGGAGCTATTGATCGCAGACCTTTGTCCAGAATAATTAGGTGTGCTAGCTCTCTCCCTCTGCAGCACAATTGGCTCCCGCGGCTAGTAGCACCACCCTTCCTAATTACAAGGCATCGCACGCAACGCAGCATTCCGACCATGATCGCAAACCAGCGGGGAGTCCTTCACTATATGAAGGGGGATAATCACTCGCTATTGCCATCAGTGTGTAATGCCCTTTGCTAATAATGTATGAGACTATTCTAAATGTGAGCTTCATCCGACAGGCCTCCAGGAGTTAGACTGGAGCGGGAAGTATATTAGACTAATGTGCAAAGCCATTGGAAAGATGGACCACTTCAAAATTTGAAATCATTACAAAGTTATTAAAATGACATGTTAATATTGATTGATTGATTTGTTTATTTTTGTCAAACATGCACAAGATATACAGACAATTATTCACAGAAAGATTTGATCATAAGAGAAAACATGAAAACCTGTGCATGGTTGGAAAAGGGATTTGTCAAAGCAAAACGTGTATTTTTATCCAATCCCCTCCCAGCCATTCAGACACATACTACAATACTATACGGAAAAAAGAAAAAAAAAAAAAATACCTGCAATACCTTCCAATAAAACACATGTCAGCCAATTGAAATAAATAAACAAATCAGAATCAATATTGTATTAAGCAGAATTAAGCATTCTCTTACATTATAAATATATTTTCTACTATTCTTTTTATTCTTATTGGTTCCAGAATTATAGAGATAAAAGATATTTTGCAAGCATGAATTTGGTTTCAAAGGCTTTTCATCACATTTGGATTAAAGAAATCAAAGCAGCACGGTAGAGCAGTGGATGGCTCACAGTAGGAAGGTTCTAATTTCGATTTCACCTTCAGGCCTTTCTGTGTGGAGTAAAAACATGTACAATAGGTCTGGCATGCACCTCCCGTCTGGCGACCTCGCTACCATGTGTGAAGTGAGAGACAAAATGCCCACAACAATTGTGAAGCGCTTTGTGTCTCTGGTCTGTGAAAAGGCGTTGTATACATTTTCGGTACATGGCAAAAGCTCTGCTGTTTGCTGTCTGGTGCACACTGGGGTAGTCTTGCAGAGTTTTTCCAATGTGGTTTTACTCCAAATGGCAAATAAAATCTTGAATCTTGAATTGAAGTAAAAATTAGTAAGTAAGTTAGTAGTAAGAAATGTTCATTTATATAGCGGATGTTACAGACCAAGGTCACCCAAAGCGCTTTACGATACAGATATTACATTTTCACATTCTCTCCACACATGGTAATGACAGGAGCGAGACCCCAAACACACTGGCGCACCAAAGCCCCCAACCAACACCATCCATTCACTCACTCATTGCATTCAGACCTATTGTGCATGTTTTTAATGGTAGGGGAAACCGGAGCACCTGGAGAAAACATACACAGACACGGGGAGAACATGCAAACTCCACACAGAAAGGCCTGGAGGTGGGATCGAACCCAGGACCTTCTTGCTGTGAAACCCAAGGTCCGCTACCGTTACTTAAAAATACTAAATTATATTTATTATTGGAGTGGTAAAATGTTCCCACAAAACATCCACATCTGAATGGAATTGTAAAGTTGAAAGTTCCTCCATGACCAAAGTAGAACCTTTAAAAGTTTTGTCCATGTCCGCCCCATAGACCGCTTTGTGGCTCTGGTCTGTGAAAGGCGGTATATAAATAAAGATTACTTACCCACTTACTTACTTACTATAGACCCTGAACTCGGTCACCCCTCACCTGGACGTGGAGGAGTGCAGTATCTCCCTGATGCCGAGGAACCGGGAGAAGAACCGCAGCATGGACGTCCTGCCGCCGGATCGGTCGCTGGCGTTCCTGGTGACCACGGAGGGCGAGAGCAGCAACTACATCAACGCCGCCTTGGCCGACAGCTTTCTCCGGCCGGCCGCGTTTGTGGTCACCCCCCACCCGCTGCCTGGGACCACCACCGACTTCTGGAGACTGGTGTACGACTACGGCTGCACCTCCATCGTCATGCTCAACCAGCTCAACCAGTCCAACTCGGCATGGGTAAGACCGCGGCCCAGGAAAGAATGCTTGTTTTTTTAACTTAAAGAATAATCTATGTGTATCTTTCCAAAGACTACGGTATGGACGATTTTTTTTGTGTCATCAGATTTTGAATTTTAAATGAGATATTTTTATTTATTTTATTTTTTTAACCATGAAAATATGCGTTTCAGTCACAAAAATTTCAGTTTACAAATTTCAATGTCATTAAAATTTCAAAATGACATATTCACCTTTAAAATATGTTTGTTTCCATCCCTCAAATTAGATGCACAGTGAAATTCGATGAAAAAAAAAATGAATCAAGATGTTAAAATTTCAAATAGATGAATTTGGGTTCATTTAAAATTCAAAATCGTTTTTTATTTTTTTCACAAAATTTCACATTGCATTGAATTTGAGTGCTATTATATATACATAAGCCAATGTGTCATTTTGAAATTTGTAAACTGATTTTTTTTGTGATTGAAATGCAAAGACAAATATATTTAAACAGGCTTTGTCATGTTTAAAAACTTGAAATGGAAAAATTTGAGCTCATTTACAATTCAAAAGAGTCTGATGACACAAAAAATCTTCCGGTACATTTCTGTCCGAGAAGAACGTGGCCTTGGGAGAACCTAACACTCTGACAGCAACAGCCAATAAAGCAGGAAGCCAAGTATTGGATTGACTCACGCAGAGGCGCAGAATTCAAACAGTGACACTTGATCCCCTTAAGAAACTGTACTTTTTATTCCGTAGTAATTTTCTCCTCACAGGGCCAGTCTGCGGACACCCAGCTATTATCCAGTCAGAAAAGTTCTCTTAAAACACACCAGAGCTCTTGCCACTAAGACGAAGAGATCCTTTATTCGTCTCACAGCAGGGACATTTCAGTGTTGCATCACAAGTAACAGAACAGTAGGAATGAGCAGCACACAGCACAGCATAAGTGAAAATTAGCATCAAAGAAGAAGTATAAAATATCTATGGCAAACCCTGGCAAATCAGTACTAAAAACAGAACTATACATGGCTTTCATGAAAATATTTTGTCAGACCTCTCAAGCTAAGCAGGTCAGCTTGAATAGATAAACTGTGATGGGAGACCAGTAGGAACACCTGGTACCACAGTGGGGCAGTTGAGACTGTAAAGTGCCAAACTGTTGCTGTGTCCTTAGGCAAGACATTTCACCCACTTTGCCTAGAGTGAGTCTGGTGTGTGCGTGAATGATGGTTGAAGGGGCGGATGGCGCATACTTGTTGCCTCGCTTCTGTCAGTGTGCCCCAGGGCAGCTGTGGCTATTGCAGTAGTTTATCACTGTCAGTCTTTCAGTGTCCAAAGAAACGCTGTATAAAACATTGGTTTTTCATTATGATAATAGTCATTATTATTATTATTATTATCAACACAATGTTGCTACGCTGATTACATTTATCAGAGTCACAGGTTGAAGAAATGCAGTGTATTTTCTTATTCACTGAGAATATTATATTGAAAACATTTATTTTAATTTCTTTTTTATGTTTCAATTCAAAAATGACTCATTGTGTAGCCTTCACACACACAGATAAAACATATTAAATGCATTCCTTTTCACTGACAGCAGACAACAGCATTGTTCCTAAGCCAGACATGACAATCACTGCAATTCTCTCACAAAGCCTCATTGTATTGTGGCCTTCCTTTCATAATTGTGCCTTTTTTTTTTTTTTTTCTTTGAGTCATCACCGCTACCTTTTTCAATTTCTTCTTAATAACACCAGCCCACATTGTCTCTATACATACAAAACAGCTGTCAATTTGATGCATGTAGAGAATCCATAAATCAGTCAAACCCTGTGTAAAGAGCGGTTGGCAATGCGATAGATTCCTTCAGTCACAATTCCTAACAGAGCGATTAGGGCGGGTAAGGCGTACGGTGCCGGATGTCACGGAGCTGACAGTGTACCGAAGGCGGGTCGTCGCGGTTCTGTGCTAGCCCATCCAATTTGCGCGGCCTGTCACGCCATTAGCATGCTGTTATCGACGGGGCCACGCTCGCCCTGTGTCGTTGTGGGTGTCATGTCGGACTCGGGCTTCTATCAGCAGCAGCCTGTCCCTCTCCGGCTGTCTGTCACCTGTGCCGAGTGAAGCCGAACGGAGAAAAGCAATTATGAGAAACCTATAGATATGAAAGCTTAAACATTCTATCATCACAGCTGTTATGGCGGCAAGGACTCGCAAAGCTACTGCCTTTAATGTGATGCGGTGGAAAATACTTACACATTTCAAAAGGATTCAATTTATATATATAGAGCCAATAAAGTATGGTCTATTATTAATCAAAGGGTTTCTATTACTGTGAGTAGTGCTTAAGTCGACCAGTGAGGCTATACTTCCAAAATCACTGTTGCCTTTAGCTCTAAGAAAACACCAATTATACATCTAAAATCTGGGGTTCCTAAGTATTATATTTTAATTGTCCCAGCCGAATTAGACCACAATATGCTGTTGTTATCTTTGTAGAAAACATGTCATCTTTTGCATACATGTAAGAAAGAGCCCTGTGAGTCACTGTTTTGGGCTGAGAGCTGATGTAAGTGGTCCTTTTAACTTTTATGCATGAAAAAGCTGATCTAAAAATGTGATTGAACAACAAGTTGTTGTAACTTTGTTGTTTTATTATTTGGATTAACAATATGTATTCATTATCAAAGTTCAAGTTGGGCGTTGACGCTTAATGTACAAGTTACATATGTATTATTATATTTATTTTATTTTATGTAACCAGGATAGGCCCACTGAGATTGCAGATTCTTTTTTTCAGGGGAGTCCTTGTCCCAGAGAGAGGGGGCACACATGCAAACACACGGCTCTTCTGGAATGTAGCTGAGACAACCTAGCATAAATATGTATACCCCCGTTGGCCCAATGCCCCACGTTTACAGCCTCCTGTCAGTGCAAAGCCCGGTTATCAGCGGGCGTCTGAACCCCGCGGTCACCCCACTCATCACACACTGACGGCGTCCCCCCTGAGTCCGCCCTCGGCCCGTTACCTTTGAGCCGCGTGCCTTTATACCGTCACACGTTGTCAGGGTGAACCTTGGCTTTTCCCCTATACTATCACTGTGTTTATATCTCTCAGACACCAACAAGGTCTTCCTCTCCCTTCATTTAGAATGCGCTAATGGTAATAATTTATATGCATGAATAATTCAAACTGCAACCCTGGCTTTTGTTAGAGGCGGTTCGCCCCGTTGTTTCGCTCGTTGGTGTAATTTGGGGTTGCTATTTGCAGATAATCATTGTCATTTAGGCTAATTGTGTGTGCTGTCAATACTCAGGTGCCTTGTTAGTGCCGTTCTGTCTGATTTGAGCCGTTCACTGCATCCATGTGATAATAACTATTGTGTTTGCGTGCTCTCTACCTCGCAGCCCTGCCTGCAGTACTGGCCCGAACCGGGACTCCAGCAGTTTGGACCAATGACGGTGGAGCTGCTCTCCCGGACGGAACACGATGATGTCATAATAAGGCTTTTTAGAGTGCAGAACATCACACGGGTAAGTGGGAAGCAGGGAGTGATTGTTTTTTTCATATATAATGGAAAACTCCATAAGTACACATACAACATAAATATTCAGTCATGCCATCAATCAATAAAAGATTTCATAACTTTTGTACTTATTTGAAAAAATAAAAAATAAAGACACAGGCCCAACCTTCCCTGTCCATACCCCTCACTCTCCCTCCCTACTGAGGGCATCAATCTCTTTCCTCCACATATTTATTTAGCACTTATTTCTATGGTTTTTAAATTGAGGCAGGTTTAAACAAGTTTTTAATTAATCTGGTAGTTTTTTCCAATGAGATAAAGCCGCTCTAAATTCAGGCACGTATATTGTAGTCTGTAATTATAGTGTGCATCTAATATCAGTGTATACAATCCTATGTTTGTTTTGTAAAGAGAAAAAGTAATTTAGTAATCTTGATCAATCAATTCCAATTATTTTCTTTTTTTTTAGGACTTTTAGTTTTATGTCACAATGTTGTAAAAACAAGCAAAAAGTACATATACAATTCAATTTCAATACAAACTTTCAGTCTGACACAAAAAACGCAAACTTTAAAATACTCCTTGTTTTTTACTTCTAGACCTCATTACTTCCTCACATAATCCTAATGCCAGTTTTTAGGACCTTGAAACACATTGACAAAAACAAAGTCATTGTAGAACCCATAAAGTTAATTTAAGCCTTTTAGCAGTTGGTCGGAAGTTGCTTTTTATTCTTCATGTGGCCATTGCAAAGAGAATAAACTATTTAGCTGTGCAACCATTGAACTACTCACTGCAAAACAGTTGAAGGCTCAATTTGGAAAACACATGGAATTGTCATCTTTGTGGGGGCCTATTACGGTCGGTCCCACCTATAAAACATTGTATATTCAAGCTGGGTCATTACGGAGATCCTGGATGAAGGACAGGGCAGTTTTCTATGGGGACAGTAAAGCCTAGCTCAACCGTAGCACGTCTGCAGTTTAGTCTAGTCATATGTTATTGTCACTGCTGGCCGTCCAAAATAAAGATATATCCATTATATGTATCACAGATGAGTGGCTTGTGTTCAGTCCATTAGATTTAACAGAGCAAATGAAGCCGGGTGCTCACTGAGGCTTGTGCAGTGGCTCTGGATGGTGATCAGGTCTAAAACTGTATCACGGCTCCCTCTCGTCATCCAACATCACACCATTTTGTTTGTGATCATTGAATAATTATACGCTGCAATAATTTCGTTTGGTAGAATTTCTGCCATTGTTTTTGATGTACTGTATATGTGTTTTGTGCGGTGTTTTCAAATGGCTGTACTTTTTCTACTAACATTACTTAAAGCATGGCAGTACGAGGACTACTGCTGCCTGCTCCTACTGCCTTCACCTACCACCTACTACTTTTGCTATCACTGCTATCATATCATACTGCTTCCATATGATTAACATACTTTTTTCACAACTACAATTTGAACGCACTGACCACTCCTCCAAAAAACGTTTGCTTTTCTATTGTCGTGTTGATACATACAGTTAAAACTCTAGAAATTACAATATCGTTCAAAAGTTCATTTATTTCCAATCCAATTTTTGTTCTAATTTCTTTTTAATTTTCATGACCATTATTCATTGAAGTTTCTTATTTTTGGTTTTTACCATCTGTAAGCCAATTATCAATATTATACAACACACAAACTAGTCATAGATCAGTCTAACATTTCAAGTTGAATTACAGAAGTAAATGGACTTTTGAAGAATATTGTAATTTCTAGTTTCACCTGTATATGAGCATTAGATAAATACCTTTTGTGGGTAAATTACTGAAACAGTTCTCTCCAATCTTTAACACCACCTCTCGTAGATCCCTTTGTAGATTAGACCTCTTCTCTTGGCTGTGCTAGTCCCCCTAACTTTCCCAAAATCGCTCACCCAACTTCTCTACAAACAACCCAAACAATTGCTATGGCATCTCCGCAGGATCTGGACGAGACTGACCTCTCAGAGCAGGACACCACTAGACTCTTGCCCAAGCAGGTATTTCATTGTGTGCTAAATATAGAGCTAGCGTGTAGTGTTTTAGAAGTAGCTAGTTTCATTTCTGCTGTGTTGCCTTCGCCATTCAAAGTGGCCGCTATTCCCCTGGTTCGGAGTGGCCTTTTTCTGAAAAACTTTCTTAACTGTCTATTGGGTGAATGCTGGGACAAACTGCACCCAATTCCCTCGGCTAGGAAGTCTCATTACAGACTACAGGTATCTGGGGCAGTCTTAAGAATGGATGTTGAGAAGTGCAAAAAAGAAAAAGAAAAAAAAAACATTGCGGTATGAGACATGACACAAAAACAGCAAGGGACGTATAGGGCTCAGTGCATGGGAAAAAGAGATTCGCCAATAAGCAAACAGTGAGTTGTCATAGGGGAACACATGCTCGTCCTCTTAAAATAGGACATACCCAAAGCTTGTTCCTATCTATATACTCCAAATCAATCATTTTTTTGTTAATTTCTTCATATTCAGTATCCATTTTCATTCGTACATTCATCACCAAGGTTTTCAAGTAAGTAAAACATACCCTGGTTGGCAAATTTGAGTGAGTTAAAGGTGTACACTGTAACTTGTCTCAAAGATCTTTTTCTTTCATCTGGAATAATCCACAAGTTGCCATTAAACTGACACAGACACGGAAGGTGTTATCATCTGGACAGAGCTTTTATCAATGAGATGTTTCATATCTAAATCTTAAGAATATTGCCATGGACAACTCCTGGGAAAAATACTACATTGACTTATTTCTCGGAATAATGGAGAAGTAAGGGACTACAGAAAGCAAAGATCTGAAGACCATTTTACAATTGGGCAGAACGAGTCTGGCAAAAAAAAATTATCTCCTTCTTTTAGATTATAATCCGGCAAATTGTAATCTCCTTCTTTTAGATTTGAACATGACTGGATGCCTTTGTCTAAATGATTACCTACATGGGTTTCCATCATTTTACACCGATGAATTGGATAATGCCACAAAGCTAATCTGTGAAGTGGCAAGAAACTCACAAAAAATCGAAGAATACCTTGTCCCCTGACACCACCATCACCAGACAAGTCACACAGAACAACTTCAAATGAATTGTTTAATGAATATACTGAAGAACTGCCATAACTCAACGACCGCCGTTGTCTTGTCTTCCAGATCCAAGAAGGACAGCTGGTGGTACGTCACTTCCAGTTCCTGCGCTGGTCTCCGTATCGCGACATCCCGGACTCTAAGAAGGCCTTCCTCAGCCTGCTGGCCCAAGTGCACAACTGGCAAAGGGAGTGCGGAGAGGGCAGGACCGTAGTGCACTGCTTGTGAGTCCTTAGTTCAACCTCGTCGTCAACTCCAGACACTTTTTAAACACTTAAATCATTTTTCTACCCTACAATTACGTGATTACACAGTTCAAGAATAGTAGCTTTCAGTGGAGGCTGGAAGTCTTGAAGCCGACATCACTTATGTACTTTAAAATGGTAAATTGCATCTGTCAAATGAAAGACTTATATTAGTATTCGAGTTGTTTTAGAAGGTAACTGAGTGCAAGGCGAATCTTCTATCATAGACTAGGAACCTAAAACTCAAAATATGGACATGGGTCTTTGCAATTGAAAGAGGGTGTTTTAAATGCATTTTAACCTTCAATAATGATCATAGACTTATTGCAGAAGAAACGATTAGGGCCAACTCAAACAGGCTCCATTGGAGGAAATCTTAAGCCAAATCATGTGATGCAACCAAAGAGCCAATCGGGAGCAGCACTGGTGTGTTCCCACTCAGGCTATTCAATGGCCAAAACCAAATTCAGGGAGAGAAGACACCTGATTAGTCAGTTGTTGAGTTTATATCCGCATTCACAAAAACATGACCAAATTAAAAACACCAAGTCAAAATAGAATGTTAAAACCACAGATTTGTACACCCACAACGAATACAGAGTAAGAGGGCTTTACTTTTCAATGTAAATGAATAAAGCAAAACATTGCCAATAAAAACATTAGACGTTATAGAGTCAGCGGGTTAGAATCGTCCATTCCTATAATAATATATAGTAATAATTTTAGCATAACCTAAATGGCAAATTGACAAATCTAATAATCTCAATTTAATATGTAGCTCAATGATGGAGCTTTGGCGATAGAATGCCAAGAACCAATTGTTTATGTGTTTCATTTTCAGAAACGGAGGTGGGCGCAGCGGGACCTTCAGCGCCTGCACCATGATCTTGGAAATGATCCGACACCACAGCATGGTTGACGTCTTCTTCGCTGCCAAAACCCTGCGCAACTCCAAACCCAACATGGTGGAGACTATGGTAAGGAATGATATAGTAGTTGACAAAAAGAGGTACAAATCAGGAGGAACCATATACAGTATATATATTTTTTGGCTTCAACATTATAGCATTTTCCTTTTTACAACGCCAAATGACTTTTTTTAAAAGCCTTTTTCGCACCGACATGTATTTTTCATGTTTTTGTTAGAAGCTCCTAAGACGCTGGGATTTTATTTTTCTGTCATTGGAATCCAAAGTCCAGCCCTGGGGAATGAGGGACGTGCTGAATTTATAATAGTAAATATGTAAAAGAAGAACAGTCGCTTCAAGCAAAACTGTGGAGGAGCACGAAGGCCACAAAACAAGGAAGTCCGCCGGGATGCTGTCGGAGGAAAAAAAGTACAAAACAACCAAAAATGTTCAAAATAGACCACAGTTGTAAAACAGGGGGTATTTATTTTTTGACCTCTTGCTTTCAGATGTTTTGAAAAAGAAAAAAAGTAATCATAATTAGGCTGAAATCTTTGTTGTAAAAGCAGTACATAACAACATGTACTGATGTGAGATTATTCCATTCCCTTTTGATTCTAGCCTGATGAAACCAGTTGTGGCTCGGAGTTACTTGTTAGAAAACATATAATCTTTTGCATACTTACTGTATTAGATCAAGTCCAGTGAGTCACTATTTGACACTTTGGGAGGTGAGGTTGGCTCTCTTATTCACTTTTTTGTCTGAAAAAGCTGATCTAAGGATGTGAACGGGGGCCAAATATGTATGCATGTGACAGAGCCAAACTGTTTTGAGAGTTAAGAAATAGATTTATTTGAATTCATTGTTCCGTTATTTGATTAAGATGAAGAGATTCTTTATTCGACCCGCAGCGGGGAAATTTCAGTGTTGCATTACAAGTTGTAGAACGGTAGGAAGGAGGAGCACACAGCACAAGAAAAGTGAACAATAGCTATACTAGTTAAAAGAAAAGAAAAATCTCTAACCCTAGCATCAAAGAACACGTATAAAATCTAACAGTATAAAGTTTCACATTTGGCAAAAAAAGAGGCAAGTAAAAAGTACTGTGTATTCTAGTGCAAGCAATGTGTCGTTATGTTAGTATTTGTACATGTTATCAGCAGTATGTTTACATCTGTACATGTTAGCAGTAGTGGTGGGAAAGTCAGGTATCCCAGCTTTAACAACTGCGATCGAATAACTACGTCTCATTCCTTCATTGTCAATCTGCTCACACCGCTAATCTTTCTCCTCTTTGCTTTTCGCAGGAGCAGTACCGATTCTGCTACGAGCTAGCGCAGGAGTACCTGGACTGCCTGGAGGCCAGATAGCAACTTTACCCCTCCACCGACACAACTACCACCACGATCCAGGAGAGATTCACCCTGGCTCTGGGCCCGCTGGCTCCTCTAGCCGCCTGTACAGCTCTGGTTTTGTCTTTGCCATGCCCGTATATGCCATAAAGATTGCTCCAAATGCTCACTGGAACTTGTAACATACTCTTGACACACAAAAAACACATTTCTATCTAGCTCTTTCCTCCCGCAACCTATTTTGTGCCACTTACATCTTTGCCAAAAGTAAACCGGAGGACACTTAACTTTGGACGGGTGACGTTTTTTCACCGTCGCCCGAACTGTCCGGCTATGTTCCCGCTAACCTCCTCGATGGCGGGTTCACAAGAGCTCCACTGTAACCTGCCTTATTATGGACGAACACTGGAAGCTAATGGGAAGCTACCAGGAAGCTAACTTGAAAGCAACAGATTTCTAATAGTTTCCTGATTTTTTTGGCTGTCTTGAGGCTGGTGTACACTGTATGGAAGCTTACCAGTAGCTATCTCGCAAGGATCTTATCAGTATTTGAATAATTAGCTGTCTTGAAGCCGATATACAAAGCTATAGAAGCTAACAAGAAGCTAACCCAAAAGCAACAGAATTCTAATTATTATTATATCTAATTATTTTTTAGCTGTCTTGAGGATGGCATGCAACACTGTATGGAAGCTAACAAGAAGCTAACAAGAAGCTAACTTTTTCTTTATTCGGTATCTGTCTTGAAGCCAGTTTACAAAATCTGTATGAAAGCTATTTGAAAGCTAACAAGAAGCTAATTTGTCAGGATTCTATTAGTATTTGAATTGGTTGCTGTCTTGAAGCCAGTATACAAAGCTGGATAAGCTAGCAAGAAGCTAACTCGAAAGCAACAGGATTCTTAAAGGTATTGGAATCGGTAGCTGTCTTGGATGCAAAGCTATATGGAAGCTATTGGGATGCTACCGCTAACGCCAACGACCCAGTGATGTGTGTGTTTGTTCGTAACACTGTAAATGGTGCAGTCTGCTGTCCCATGTTGTTCTGTAATATAACTGAAGATTATCGTGGCAAGATGTGATCGGACTGGAATGTCGGACGGACAGAGGGGTTGTACAGCGGCGTCGTCTCGGACCTACTTTGTTATGATTATTATTTATTCTCGTTGTAAATAGGTTGTTCTTTTCCCCCTCCTCGCCGACGTGTTTCGAAATGTCTTTCTCAATGTGCCAATCCATATGCGCTGTGTGCCTGTGAACGGGACCACTCCAGCGTGTTGCATGCAAAGTCTGAAAAGTGTGTTCCCCCCATCGCACTGTGTGGCCCCGAAGTGTGCTTCAAGACGAGGCTCTGTCATCCAAAATAACCGCGTGTCGCTGTGAGAAACTGGCAAAGGCGTCGCTTTCTAAATTTATATTTATTCTATGTGTTTTATTTTCTAAATAGTGTAAAAATAGAACATAAATAAAGAAGTATGTTGTTGCTTAAAGTAGAGGCTGTGTGGTTTTCTTTCTGCATTCTCACCGATGGTTTTTGTATTAATACGATTGGTACAGACTGTCCTTTTGTTACAATATTTATTTATATTCTGTAAACCAATCAATCAGGATGTTTATTTCAAAACCTTCAAAACACTATTCACTATATACTATGACAGTTTGAAAAGGAGCAGCTTGGGTGAGAAGGAAGTAACGATTTGAACTATGATGTTGTAATGATAACTAAAATTGAGTTAAAATGGATAATAATGTGGGATTATAGATCTACAACCACACAAATTAAATGAGTAGCCTAAATTAAGCAAGCAATTAAATTAAGCAAACAAGTGACGGAACGAAAGGTTTGAAAGAGAAACTCATGTATCTCAACATAAACTACACATGTCACAAAAAACTACACGGCAGCACAAGTGACAGAACGCAGAGACACAAACTAATTAACTCCGGTTGACCCCAAGCCGTGGAAGATTGGGTAACAAGTTGGATGAATCAAACGTGTCTACATTTCCAACCTGGAAAAGTGATGAAGATTGAGCTTTCAGAGGTTAGTGTAATATTCATCAATAAAGGATTTGCAAAGCTTACACTTATCAATGAAGTCATAATTGTCAAATGAGTTGAGTACTCAACAATTGTTTCATACAAATGTATCATGATAAACATAACAAGAACTCACATAACAAAACTATCTGTAAATGGTTAATAATTTGCTCAATAAACATCACTATAATACATCGTGAAATAATAAATACAGTGCCTTGCGAAAGTATTCGGTCCCCTTGAACCTTTCAACATTTTGCCACATTTCAGGCTTCAAACATAAAGATATAAAAATTTAATTTTTTGTCATGAATCAACAACAAGTGGGACACAATCGTGAAGTGGAATGAAATTTATTGGATAATTTAAACTTTTTTAACAAATAAAAAACGGAAAAGTGGGGCGTGCAATATTATTCGGCCCCTTTACTTTCAGTGCAGCAAACTCAGTCCAGAAGTTCAGTGAGGATCTTTGAATGATCCAATGTTGTCCTAAATGACTGATGATGATAAATAGAATGCACCTGTGTGTAATCAAGTCTCCGTATAAATGCACCTGCTCTTTGATAGTCTCAGGGTTCTGTTTAAAGCGCAGAGAGAACCATGAAGACAAAGGAACACACCAGGCAGGTCCGAGATACTGTTGTGGAGAAGTTTAAAGCCGGATTTGGATACAAAAAGATTTCCCAAGCTTTAAACATCTCAAGGAGCACTGTGCAAGCAACTATATTGAAATGGAAGGAGTATCAGACCACTGCAAATCTACCAAGACCTGGCCGTCCCTCCAAAATTTCATCTCAAACAAGGAGAAGACTGATCAGAGATGCAGCCAAGAGGCCCATGATCACTCTGGATGAACTGCAGATAACTAAAATTTTCTATCTTTATGTTTGAAGCCTGAAATGTGGCGAAATGTTGAAAGGTTCAAGGGGGCCGAATACTTTCGCAAAGCAATGTAAATAACATCACAGTATGAGACATTTATAAAGGACTATAAATATATGTCATGTCATTTTCTACCCCTTTATTGAACTATTTCTGGGTCGGGGGGTGGCAATCAGAGCTGCCACCCAAGTCTCATAGCACCAGTCCCTCACTGATCCTCCTGCACGAGGTGGGTCCACAGCAAGATGGCTTCTCCGTCATCAATAAGATGGCCTTGGTCTTTCAGCGGGGGCTTCGGGCAATGTTGGGTTAAGTGTCTTTCCCAGGGGCACAATGACAGCTGATCTTTCAATCGGTAGGAGCAGGTGACGTGGGTCGCGGTGGGCTCTAACCCACGACCATAAGGTCCAAAGACCAGTGCTCTACCAGCTGAGCTACTGTCGCCCTTGCATTAAATATATAAAGACTCTAAATGAAGAACCCTGGATCATTCCTCATGTGTTAAGCCTGAGCTGAACATATATCTATAACATATATATATGCAAAAGCAGGACGATCGTCATGGCAATGCGCGTTGTCATGGTGACCCTTGTGAGGTCACAGAATGGAATGTCCCAAAGACTGTGTGTGTAGCAACAGATGAACACAAGACAAGTCCCTAAACACTTTGCTCTGAGCAAACGGAGACAAGAAGTTAGTAGCACTTTCTACCCTTTACAAAGTAGCAAAGACTAATCTATAACCCAGACATTCTTTGTATTATAATATAAAATAGATTATATACAGTTACAAATGGCCAAAAACTCCAGAAAGAGGAGGAATCAGAAAATCTCCAGCATTTATGTGAGGAACATGCGTAAGCCTGATGAGGCGAAGACGGAGGTTCCTCAAGAGATGACGGGGTCACGCTTCGAGACAGTTACAGGATCAAAGCCAAAAACCAAACCTCCTGCCGCCCCGGCTGTATCTTCACCCGCTCCAATGACAGTGGATTACTGTGTAGAGACCGGGCCGAACCAGAACCATGACGAGGGGTGGCAAGTTGTAAAGAAACGGAAGCAGCACAAATGTGAGACGGTAAAACAGGCTCCTCCCCCTCACAGGGAACACGCTTCCGACCCGAGACACAAGAACGTAAGAGTCCCCAAAACACAGAGGGGGCCGAGATCCACTCCTGATTGTCGACCTTTAAGTGGGAAGGTCAGGACTGAAACACCAAGAGAGGCTAAACCTTCACCTGTTTTAACAAAGGAACAGAAGCAACAACCTGAGATAGAGGTGTCTCCTTCTGAGCCTCAGAAGGAGCAGAAGAAACCAAGGCGCCTTCCAAAGTGTGCTCTAGAACAGATGGACAAGGTTGTGGAGAAAAATATGAGCCACAATTCACAAAAAATATCACCAAAAATAGACACACAGGCTCCAACATCCAGAAAGAAAAAGCACAACAAGTGGAAAAAGCAGGAGACAAAAGCAGCAGTGACTTTCTCATCTACAATAAGGACGTTAACAGAGTCTGAGCAGATCTATGATGGACCTCGTTTGGCGTTTGGAACGAGCTGGAGCCCGATGGAAGAGAAAGAAGAGTCTCTAGTGATTGAAGCTTCAACCTCAAACACTGAACCAGAAGAGAGTTCCCCTGCGCCTCAGCCCACTGGGATCATGCTCTTTAGAAAGAGGGGCTGCCTGACCAGGGCCAGTGACAAGGACTGGTTCGAAATGCCTGATGAGGAGGAAGATGATGAGATTTATATGTCCATGCTAACATAAGCGTAGTAATAACCCCACACACACCCCATCCCCTCCCTTCCTCCTCCCCTCAGCCAATAAACAAACAAAAATGAAGTAAGAAATCTACTGATATTGACTTTCAATTTTCACATTTAGGTGACAGTCTTTCAACTTTTCTACACAAATTGGTAAAAATATTGACCCCATCCATTCCTTCCTCCTTCCTCACTCCCTAAACCTGAGAGATTCCCCAACGTCCTAATGATTAAACTCATGAATTCCTCATCTCCAATAGGGGCCAGCATACTGTTGATGATGGGTGCTAAATAATTAGTCCCTGGCATCAAAGCTGCTACCCCCTAAAACA